CTGTGTTCGGGGGAGGCAATGATTTTGAAAAACCTCCTCTTCTGTCGTTCTTTGGCTTCTCTCCACTGTTTGCGTCTCATTATCTGAGCCTTCTCACCCAGGTCACCAATTCTCTTCCTTTTCCCTGTCTCAATATCCCTTCTCCATCTCTCTCGCTCATTCATGAGGTACTTTTCCCTGCGTGCAGGATCAGCGTCCCGTCTCCGTCTGTACGCTCTCTGTTTTTCAGCAGACGCGTTTGCCATTAGAGGGTCTGAAAAAAGGAATCCAATAGGAAGACTTGCTCAGCTTCTCCATATTCCAAATGAATAGATGCTTTTTAAAGTCAGCATGGCTTTGATCACACGATCCAACTCAACGCTGTGAGCAGAATTTTTATATTTTTGGTACTGATGATCAGTATTTTAAGGAATGTTGATATCATGTCCATTTCAACCCTGGAATGTTTAGAAATGTTTGACGATCAAATGTATGGATTATGAAAGCCTCAAACACTTCCAATGCTCCAAAAATGTACCCTGTTTATACCTGATATAATTATTAATAATAATAATAGTAATAATAAACCAGGAAAGGTGTAGTTCATGTGCATTTCAGTATATTATTCTGGTATGAAAGGAATATGACCTTTAGGGTAATGAACTACTTTTGAATTAGGTGATTTGGAATTTAGCTTTCCTTGTTTTGCACTTTTTCACATCTCTGTAAGTTTTGATTTTTAAAACCAAAATGATAAACCATAAGTTCCAGGGAAAAGACCCATGCAGTGGCTCGCAGACTTCTGTTCAGAGTTAAACATGAGGTGAAAAAGTGCAAAACAAGATAATTGAGCATGCAATCAAAACAAAAACCTTTAACCACAACAAGACACTTTATCAGATAAAACTGTTGACTTGATTTCCAATGTCGTTTTATGATATGACTGTGTGTGTGTGTGTGTGTGTGTGTGTGTGTGTGTGTGTGTGTGTGTGTGTGTTAACTGCTGTGTGTGTTCACATGGGTTAAATGCAGAGCACAAATTCCAAGTATAGGTCAAAACTTTCACTTTTACTTTGTGACCTATATAGTATGAGGTCCTTCCATGTTTATTAGTGTCTGTGTGTGTGTGTGGTCATGTGATGTGCGTTTTCAGCGGTGTAGTGTGGAAGGAGGGCAGATATGCTAGGTAAAATACAGTGTGGATGTGGATTATTTTCATTCTAAAAGGCCATTTTAAAACTAAGATGTATTAGTGTAAACGGGGCCTAAGTTGGGACGATGGCATGGTCTATCGACCCAACCCTAAAGGTTAGTCCTACACAATATCAGCTTGATAATTGGCACAAACCATTGACGTAGGCTGTGATGGTTTGGTAAATGACATTAAAATTAATCTTCACAAAAAAAAATAAATAAATAAATGTTTTGCTGCTTGTTCAAACTACTTATTTATATTGAGCTCAAACCATACAATTCTAAATTGGATAGCCTAATTGTTTTATGTTTAATCAACTTAAAATGGTAAAAACCAGTAAGATAACTTACTCGATTTTTGTTGGGACGACATGAAGGAATCGTGTGCAACCTGCATTTTTTACATTTTTGTATCTGGTAGAGTGTTTCATTTTGAATATTAACCAGTGCCACACCTGAGAAGCTTCATGATGATGCAGAGAAAGAAAGATTAGCACGTTTAATTTATTTTAGTCAAACAGAAGATCATGGTACTGGTGCTGCTAGGTGGAATTGTGAGGAAACTTGGACATTTCTGATAGCAAGACTGCCAGTATCAAATAAGTCCTTTTGTTTGTTTACAGACTTGTTTCTAAAAGTCAGATGCTAGATATGCTTTCTCGATGACATCATGCATGTTAAAAATGAAAAGCAATGATTCTTATACTGGCTTTCAGTTATACTAGTGGTATAACTGATAATGCTGCTATTTTTTCCTCCCATTTATTTCATATTATACAGTGCTGCGAGGTCAGGTGAAAAGTCTGGAACACTTAGAATTACTGAATTCAGGTGCTGGTGCCACCATCTGCATAGCATCTGTAGTCTCAAATGTTTTGGATTTACTTTAAATGTTGACTACTGTAGTTTAATGTTCTCTGACCACAACATTACATTTATTTATCTCCTCAAAGGGTAAACACTGAGAATCCCAATAAAGACACTGATGTCTGCCGGTTATGTGTGGATTGTAAGTTGAAAAATTACAAACGCTGGTGGTGCTTCAAAAACATGGAGGGATTTGACAGAAGGTTTGGGTTTCAGTAGAGATGCTTCTAGGCAGAACTCTAGAGAACTTCTTGGCAGATAAGATAAACTTTTTGGACCTATAACAGCTCTGTTTATGATGTTTCATAAGGAGGACATTTCAAAATGCATTAATTTTGTAATTCTTTTGGCATCTCTTGTCAGGTGTACAATATACAGTATTTAAAGTGGATCAAATTTTTTTTATATCAAAATTGTCCTAAGACCAGATTAAGTGTTGTTCAATAGTTTGAGGACAACTTTGATGAAAGGTTTTGAACCACTTCGAATGTTGTCTACTGTATACACTTTTCATACCTTTTTCTGTAGCCATTGTCTGAGATTTTAAAGCATTAAGAAACATTTTATGGATTTATTTTCTGAAGCATGTATTAAATAAAAAACTAATCTCTAAGCAACCTACATTTGATATTTGAATTCAATATCAAGCAGGTAGGGCTGTATCAATACACGATATTAAATCGAAATCGCGACACTCAGATCTACGATCCTGTGTCGCGGTGTGATAAGGGAGAATCGCGACACACCCCGTGATACCTTTCCAATAACGTCAGGCATGCCTGCAAAAGTTGAGCTAATTAACACTTTTTTTCTTTCGACATTACAAGCACTGCTCCGTTTAAGCCCTCGCAATATTTAGCCGGGAGAGCTCGCACGGAGCTCTTAGTAAGGGACCGTCTGAATGTGTCAAGAATATCAAAAACAAAACCAACTTAACCCCGCTTGACAACCGACAACGCCAGAAACATTGCCAATGCTGTCAAAGCGGCCGGATTTTCAGTGCATGTACGATGATTTGCTCACACTGTTAATGTGGCTGCGCAGAGAGGGATGGGCATTCACCAGATGTCAGGTAACAGCGCAAAACTTTTTGGTTGTTGGACAAATGTTTCATCAGAAATTAATGGCCTGTTTTAGAGGTTTTGACTTTCACCACAGCTCTGTTTAGCCGGCAGATGTTTAATTCTTCACATCTGGCGAGCGCCATGCATTTTCTGTAACCGTGTTGTGCGCTTTCTGTTTGAACCTTTGAGAGTGCTGACTGACAGGTGCGCGATACGTGAGGTCAGAAAACACGACGAAGCTTTAAGTTAAGATGAACACAGTTTCTATAGTTATACTTTATTTAGAGATAAAGGTATATGACTTTGCATATAATCACTCTATCTTGCTGGAGTTTATAGCCGTTTCGCTTTACTTCAGTACGCATTAACACCGCTCTGATGGTCTAATCGTTGTTTTAAGTTATCCAAAGCTGTATGAATATATATCTTGAATGTCACAATAGTATTAAATATTACAATTGTAACAACACAGACAGCAACACTTTTGCACAATCGATACCCAGCTGATTCAGTCGTTTCATAAGAGGACCGCGCCTCTTCTTTTTTCCTTGTCAACATAAAGGCAGTGAGGTGCGCCTCGTTTTCGGCCACTTGTTTAACTGCAAGGCATACTTAATTTGCGGGACCATAACGTGTAACCCGTGCCTACAGACACATTTGCCAAAGAAGCAAAATGGAAAAAGAATATTGCTGTTTGATACAGACCTGTTGATGCTAAACCAGCGCTTATGTTGACCTGGATCTGCGTAATAAATGCAACAAATAGGCTTTACTTTTTATTTTACAGCTTAAAGCATGTACGCAGATTAATGCAATATCATATTTTAACAACAAAACTGTTTACAAAAAGTCTACATATGCGCGCGTTGTTGCTGTCTTTACATCACGCAGCGCGCGCACTTGAACCGCGAGGGAGAGAGAGGAAACCATAGGCTAAATCAGGACATATTCTTCAAAATAATGATTTCTATTAAAAATGTAAAAGGTTTTGTGATTATAATAATAACAGCAGGGCATTAAATAAATGCATATTTTCCGTGGAGCGGGCAATTTGAGGAAGTCTGCTATTTTTATTTGACGAAAGAAAAAAAACATATGATCGGAAAAAAAAGCCCATGCCGGTTATTAAAAAGAATCAGTCAGTATTTTCGTTTTGTAATATAAATTAATTATTTAAGAGAAAATAATTTAGGGCAGTCCTATTTATTTTATTCATTTTATTTAGATTATTCTGCTCTTCTGTGCTAAACACTGCAGGTGCTTGAAGATGCTCTGTTGTTCTGTTCCGCTATTAATATATAAAAATAAATTAGTATTTTAAAATGCAATATTTAATGTGTCAGACACAAAATAGACTCGTCAATTTGTTTAATATAAAATTAATAGTAATCTGACCAGTTAACCGTTAATAACCGATTAATGAGTGGCGGTTGTCGGTTAGCAAAATTAACGAAATGAGCATCCCTAGTAGCCATTTAATTTACTTTATATGTAAGAGAACTTGATTGAAAAATAATTTTCAACATGCTTCAACCATCTACACAATGGAGTTTAGTTCTGTTTGGTTTTACAACAGTATTTTGTTACAAAGAAAACAGAAGTGATATAGCTTTGGCTATGTATTTATTTTATATATGGCTATTTATATTGTTAATAATTTGCATAGTTAATATTGTTCTTTGATGTTTAGTTTATAAAGATTTTTCAAATGTTATTTAATGAAAAATAGTTTTAAAAATCTTTTTTTTTCCCACCCCACACGAAAAAAAAAAATCGTGATACGAACCGAATCGTGGGTCAAAAATCGTGATACGAACCGAATCGTGGGTTTGGTGTATCGTTACAGCCCTACAAGCAGGCAAGAATAAAACTGTAAATTTTTAATGTTATACTTACAGGTGGATGGATCCATGCCGATGAATGCTGGAATGTTGAGGTCGGTGGAAGTTCCTGGACTCTGAAGAGTTTGAAATGGTGCAGGCAGATCGAGTGGAACCCCAAACTCTGGTTCCCCAACTTGATTAAGTTCAGCGTTGGGATATTCAAGCCTTGATGCGCTGCCGGATTCTCCAGGTTCATCCTTCACACAGACTATTTCAACCTCTGCATCCTCCTGTTTGATCTTCATCAATGGTGCTCCAAAAGCCCCTGTGTTTGTCGTTTGGGATGGCATACTTTCATCCACCATCATGGGTGCAGAGAGGACGCTGCTGTCTGGTATGTCTGTGTGTCTAGAGTCAGCAGATGCCAGAGGGTTTTGTCCCCATACTGGATCACTGGTCTCAGACAGAAGCCCCTGACTGTCTATCAGATGACGATTTGAGTTCTCCACTACTGAAAAATAAATAAATTGCAAAAAAGTCAATTTATGCTTAAGTTGAGTAAAATTCTAAGAAACTCTATGATTATTGAAATAATAATGAGTAATATCTCCATCATAACCAGTTGTAATATAGTCAATAAAACACTAAACTTGCATTGATACACGTTTGTTAGTTTACTCAATAATTTAACCTGTTATACAATTCAGTCAACATTGTTAGTCTTTTAAAGTTCTGATTTCGCTTTAACAACAGTCAGTTTCCTAATAGCTAGAGGAACATATTAATATGCCAACTACTGCCCTGACATGCATAACTGTTAAGCAGGGTATACTGCGGTTTGGAAAAGTCAGGGTTTTAAAACTGTCTAAATTTTTCTGCAATCCCGTTTCTAAGGTGTGTGCGATTTTTTTATTTACGTTTTTTTTTTTTTTTAGGACAACAATATTTCCAGCAGAAAAGATGCTGTTTTAAATTTAAATTTAAGCAAATGAAGATCACAAAAGTCAATAATTCATTTAGCAATTACACAAAATATCTGTCATCTGTATGAAAAACTAAAAAAAGTAAAATAATTAACATTTTAGTAGAAGTGTATATATTCTCTTCATTTTTGTTGCTGTTTACAGTGAGGTTGTAGCATTAGTAACAATGTAGCATCGTTTAATAAATTACAACATTTTTTCACAAGACAACAGGGATTATATAAATTAAATGTTACCAATATATAGCTTTTAACAAAATTATAAGCGTAATGGTTGTATGTATTTTTGTACTATAACTGTTTTCAGATTTTTGGTAACATTTTATATTAACTACACACTATGAACCATTTATTAAACATTAGTAAATAGTTCATTCATTATCTGTTAAGCATTAACTCTACATTAACAGACGTTGGGGTGGGCGATATCACCTAAATTAATATCACAGTGTTTTTCACTTTTTGAACGGTGATGGTATAATATCATGGTATAATATGCTTTTTTTGGTACATTTTGGGAGCAGTACCCTGTCCTGTCCCTTTAGTATGTGAATAAAGTTAATATTTTTATAATATAATAAATAAATGATAGGTATCCTGATCAAAAAGAGACATGGGAGAGTATTATGCATTCTCAACATAGATATTTTGCAAAAATAAAACCTAAAGATCTTACTTCACAATGTACAACAAAACAAAAAATAGCAGTGTAATAACACAAGAACAGTGTCATAATGTGTATTTTTCACAAAAACTAACTCTCTCTTCATCTGAACTCTGATGAAACTAGATATTCAAGTTCTTTGCCATGAACACCAGCCTGTCAACATTTTCTGGCTTCAGTGATGCCCTGGAGCTTGTTACAATATTGCCCCTATGCTAAATGCATGCTCGGAGGGTGAGCTTGTGGCTGGGATGCATAAGTCTTTTTAGCCAGATGGCTAATGCGCGGGAAGTGGGAACATTGGAGAAGCCAACACTCCAGTGGATCAAAGTCACTGTCAGCCGTTAACATCAGCAGGTAGCCATTTAGCCCTTTTGCATTTTCCTCTGTCTCACCGTTTGGTTCTGACACTCCACTCATCTCTTTTCAGATAGTAAAAGCTACAGACCCGACATTTCTTCACCATGTTTCACTAGTCGTTTAATGGCCACTCCTCTTTTACCTACCATCGGCAAAGCTGATATGAATATGTTTTACTTTATTATTTACATAAACAAGATATAAGGCAAGGACATGTATTTAAACCACAACTGAACATCTAAAGAAAATTTAATGCCTTATTATTTAGAATGAGCTATTATTGATGTAAATGCAGCCGTTCAAAGAATATAATTGATTTATTATGGTATTGACGGTATTGGAAAATCCATGTCGTGGGGCAATGTCACACCGGTGATGACTATGACACTAGTGTACCGCCCACCCCTAATAGACGGGGTTTATAAATACAGTTTTTAAATAGAGAAACAAATGCTGTATTCTTGACGTTAAGCACATTCATAATGTACTTAATGATTGTATTTTCATACTTTATTACTTATTAATTTTTCATTGTTAAATTTAGTATTGCATTATTTACAAACCATTTGCATCCAAGAATAGTTGGTGGCTTTTAGAATCATTCAGAATGAGTTAGTAAATGATTAATAAACTATTCAAATCAACATTTATAATTCTTATTATTCAGGCATATAGTAATGGTTAATTTGTATGTTAATAAATGCTTTATTAACTCAACTTCATCCAGTTTTGTGACCTAATCTAAAGTGAGGACTATTCATGCTTTGTAAATCCCTTATAAATGACTACTAAAGGCTCAGTATCAAATAAACAGTAAATGTTTGCAATCGTATCTAAAAAATAAAATTACTGTAAACTTTAAACGTTGCCGAAAAAACAGGAGTGTTAACAATTTAACAATTTATTATGATACAACATTTCAATGTTATTTAGAGAAGTTTAAACTGTACTGTAATCTTATTTTACATAAGAGTGCAAAGATTTAGTTTTTTTTTTTGATACAGTTTCATTTGTGTATCTACAGATGAATAGATATAGAAGTCATTTATATTCTTTTTCCTGTTCAGAATTTAACTGAGCCTCTAATTGTCAATTTTAAGGTTTTTATAAAGCATAAGTCCTAACTTTACATACAAAGCTAGATGAAGTTGATTTAACAAAGCATTTATTAACATACAAAATAACTATTAGTATATGACTGAATAATAGGATAATTGAATGTTAATTTAAATAGGTTATAAATCATTTTCTCATGCATTTGTAATGATCTTAAAAAACCACCAACTTTTCTTAAATAACTAGTTTGTAAATTATGCAATACTTTAATCATTAACAAACATGTACAAACTGCATTGTACATAATGCAGATGAACATTTTCATATTAGTCAATAATAGTACTGTATTTAATTTAAAAACTGAGTAAATACAGATTACTCAAGTGAACAAAACGAATTATGGGCTAAAAATCAGCGGAATTCTGACTGCGCAGATTCCGTGTGGGCCTACTTTTAAGTCAAGAATAATGCATTTGTAGCTGTATTTATAAACTACTTACTAACGTCTATTAATGTAGAGTTAATGATTAACAAATAACGAATTAACTGTTTGCTAATGCATAATAAATGATTCATAATGTGTAATTATAAAGTGTTACCAGATTTTTATTAAAACTTTTTAAAAAATGACTTGATGTTTTGATCATGATCTTTGATCAAAATCATCTTTTAAAAGTTGTTTAATTTTGTTAATTAAAATAGTAAGTTGTTCAATTAGTATGTTTTACTTTGGTACTGAAATTGACTATTTATAATGTGACTATTCAAACTCAGTCTTTTAAAAAGAATTGTGACTGACAAACCTACTTATTTAGCACATCAAGCCAAATGTCATTACATAGAGACGTTTGTGCAGCTGTTCACCCAAAACAATGGTTACTTCCTGTACAGTATAAACAAGACGGTCTGTAAATCTGAGAAAACATCTCAGTTAGAGAGAAAAAAATCTTGATAAACCGCTGGTTCGATTAGTTGGTGTATCAAAATAATACAATTTAAAGCTAACGTTACTTGACTTAACCTTGGTTGTGATTCAGTGACAACATTAAACATGGTTTTCATTTAATCACTAAAACACATTATGGCATATATGTAATGGCAATATGAAAAACATTCATTACTCATTCATATTTACCACAGGTTTATACCTTTATGAGCTGGTGATGGTCCATGGATCTCCTCAATATGAAGATCAGCCAGGTGATTGTCATTTCTTGGTGTTTCTTTGGACATGTGCAGATGCTGCTGTCTCGCCCACGAAGGTCCAGCTACAGGCCCGGCTACATTAACTCTGGGTCTGGGACATGGGTATTGAGGTTTAGCACACACGGACACAGTACTGGTCGGCGCTCTTCTGCAGTGAAGCTCGGGGCTGGATGTTGCCATGTCTCCTTCTGCCTGGTACGGTCTATGATTGGGGTCTTTAGCCGCAATGACGTTCATGTACTTGCGCATAGTTTTCATCTGACATCTGGACGTCTCCAACATTCTTCTAATGTTCTCATTCTCCTTCTCTTTAGCGGTCATCTCCCGTTTGATCTCCTCAAACTTGAGTCCGACTACCCGGATCATTTCTCCCAAAACGGTCTCTACCGCGACGTTCACGGCTTTCTCGATAACAGCGCCCATTTGGCCCCGCATCAGGGAGATGGTCAAATTCACATCCATGCTGATGGGAGCGGATGTCATGAGGGTCTAAAAACACGCACGATTAAAAACCGTCGACTATATGGTTAGTTTTGTAGTGTATTTGTGCAAAACGTAGGCTATGGTTTTGAGACAAAGCCCAGACTTCGTCCGCCATTGGCCACGTACCGTCAACACTGACACGGAGCAGGAATTGCATCCGGTTCACCAGGAGCATTAAAGGAATAGTTCACCCTAAAATGAAAAATATCTCACAATGTATTCCCCCTCGTGTGGTGTAAAATAAGACATTTTGGAAAGCTTAATTGTACCCATAAAGCATCCCTGCTGAAAAAAAAAATTGCTTAAACCAGACAAGCCTGGTTATTAGCTTTAGCTGGTTGGCCAGCCTGGTTTTAGAGGGGTTTTGGCCATTCCAGCTAAAACCAGCTGCTCAGCTTAAACCTTAAACCAGGCTGCTCAATCGTTTTTTATCTGGTCATTTTCCAGCCTAAAATGGCCGGAAATCAGGCTGGAAATGGCCAAACCCCACTAAAACCATGCTGATTGACCAGCTAAAATAAAAGAGTGTCGAAAGGTGCACTGCAATCTGTGACCTTAGGACACCAGAACCTGGATCCCATTGATCTCTGTTGATTTATCATACACTCATCACATATGCACTCGCTACAAATAAAGAAGAAAATGAAAATGTTTTCTTGTGGCAGCTCGTTGAAACACTGTCAATGGGCTATATGCACAGCTAGTGTTTTTCAGCCAATGATGAACTTCTGGTGAAAGGTTAATGTGACTATTTTCAATTTTATAAGGTTTCTTCTTTCTATTAAGAAGGTTAAAGACAACTAAAAGACAATTTAAACTCAGCTGATGTCATTAGCAGCTGCCATGGCTAGCTCAGAAATTCTTTTGAAAATACTGGGGTAAAATTAATTTCCATGTTTTAAAGATATGGTGCAGAAAAAAGGAATTTAATGCAATGCTTCTTGTTTGCTCTGATACTCATTTTATATCGTATCTCAGCCAGGCAGTGAAGATTTCAGTTTTTTTTAAAAGATCAAATCTTAAACTAGGTGATTTTGTATGGGATGACAATTAACCAGAAGCCCTGAGGCTGGCTGACTGAAATTAAAAGTCTGTGTACCCATTACAGATAAGCTGGTTCATTTATCTGATCCACTCTGTCTGCATCCATACTCAGACAAGCAAAATTCTCAGACTAACAAAAAAACTTTATAAAGGTATCTACATGCTAGTATAGATTTTTTTCTGAGTGTTTTTAAGATGTATTTTTTTCAAAATATATCAGTCCTACTATAAAACGGTCTACTTTTTCTGTTATGATTTGCATTGGTGTCCATTATGCACCCCTAAAGATGTCCAAAAATACATGGCAGAAAGCAACTCTCCATGACAAGCTTCCCATTCTCTATTGACTTCAATTGTTGGAAAAAAATATCAATGGACAACATCGACCAACATTGTTCAAAATATCTTATTTTTTGTTCAACTGAAGAACGAAACTCAATGGATTTTAAACAAGTGGGTAAATGAATACAGATATTATTAGGGGGTGCCTTAACACTCTGCTGGCAGAAGTGAAGCTGCCTGAATAAAATAAATAAATAAATAAATAAACGGGAAGGTTTCTATGTGACGTAAAGTGAGCCTTGTTAAGTGTGGTTTTAACCCATAATTAAAATTGGTCCTCTACTTTTAACCCATCTCACTGTACACACATTTTGAGTGAGGAGTGAGAGCACAACAACAGCAGCACACACACACATTGAGCATACACTATTGCATCCAGCACCCGGGGAGCAATTAGGGGTTAAGTGTCTTGCTCAGGGGCACCTAAGCTGGGTATTGAAGATGGAGAGAGTGCGGATCATTCAATCACCACATCTTCATTCCCTGCAGAGACTGGAAACCATTTAGCCACATCCACCTGCAAAAAGGGAATTCAGGAAAAAAACAGGGTCAGAATAAGGGTACTTAAATGTTTTCACAAGGTGTGGGCAGATTTTTGTTTTTTCATTAAATGAAATCCTCAAAATCAGATATAAAGATCATTCTACTTGAAAACTAAGCTTGTTTACCTGAGGAGAGTGGAAGTGGTTTAAGGTTAAACTGTACTGGTTCATAGGTCATAGTTCTGTGTGAAAATCATGCTGATGTGAGATGCATTAGTGTTAAAGGTAACTTTGCTTCACAGACAAAGGGTGTTTGATGGTATAGTTAAATGATCCTCGGTTGATGTTTTTAAACCACACTGAAAACTGAAGTTCAACTCTAAAATCTGGACTATACACTTTCAATTTACAAGAACTTCTATGTTAAGCTGATTTGACACAATCTACATCCTAAAATCACTATAGAAATAAACATGAATTGTTAAGGATCCCAAAGTTGTGTCAAGAATGTGGACCCACACAATGGCACTACCACCAGGCTAAAACATTAATATTATGTTTACAATATACATTCATGCTTTCATGTTGTTCACACCAAATTCCTACTGAATGTTTTAAATTCACAATCAATGTTTGCTCTGGTTTGCTCTGTTTAAAGTTGTTTTCACCGCATTATCTGCCATGTGATTGGCTGATTAGAAATTGACATTTGAATAGTAATGGTATGCAGTACTACTGCTTATTACTGGTACACCTAAATAAGTGACCAGTAAATTTATTGCGCAATATTGTCATACTTTTGAATAGAGGAGAGAGTCTGTATTGTTTGCCACTGGAGACAGCATATATTGGCACCTCAGCCAATTCTAGAATTGCCTCTGGTTTCCACTCCTGTATACTGACACAAAAAAACCACAGCAGTAGCATCAGCTGGTATATTTGTTGGCTAAAGGCTGAAGGCTTGCCTTCTATATAGGCTTATATATCTTCTATAAACGCTTAATCTATGTAAACTGCAGTTTATTGCAGTCAACTTTTGAAAACAAGAGGAGTTGAAAAAATGTAAATACTTTTCTGCTTATAAGGAACCAACAAGTAAAGCTCGTAGACAAACGTTATGCTGTCTTAAGAAAGCCTCGTCTGAAAGTTTAAAGTAGTTTTAAAGTTTAAGTAATTGAAGTAGTTTTTAAGAAGTTTGAAGCAGTTGGTAAAGATAGATAACTACATATACAGTATGTCAGCATGTTTCCAGTATGGATGAGCATGTTTCTTGCTAGAGGGTTGATATGGTGTTCTGAGTGGTTGCTAGGCAGTTGCTAAGTTGTTGCTAGGATGTTTTCTGAATATTCTGGGAAAGTTTTGGGGAAACCGAAAGTCGGATCAGTTAGAAAAGATATAGCAACCCGAGTCAGACCAGTTTGTAGGTTTGGTGTTATTTGGTGCTTGTAGTATGAATAGTCTTGGAGAAGAGCCGTATAGAAGTTAGTCTCAGAATAAGAAGAATATTAAGTATGTAGTATAACAGTATGTTTGCTTTCTCAAGTCACCATAATTATGCAATATTGTGTCAAACTACTAAAAATACCAACAAAAGTCACTTTGTTAAATTTTATAAGCCAAAGGCTTGTCGATGCAGATGTTGAAGTCCCATAATGCAATTCAAAGCACCAATAAACAGAAAACAACTAAATCATGAACTATAGACACTTTTTTTTATTATTATTTACAAAATACTATTTGTGATTGGTCTAAAAATAACTAATTAGATTTAACAAACAACGTCTGACACATATAAAGAAATTTCTTTTTAAGAAAGAAATGCACACATGCAAGGTCAAAATATAAGAATTACTGATGACGTCTATTGATTTTTTTTTTTTTTATGTTTTTTATGCCACAATAATGTTTATTGGCTATTCCTGCATTCCCTCTTCGATAAACAGGTCATGTAACAAAGCCATTCACCAAGACACACATTTACACAGATGTAATTCATCATTTAATAGTTGGTCTATTATATATTGAAGAATAATACAATGATTTTCATAACAAATTCAAAAAATGTTATACATATATTCAAACAAAATATTAGCATAGAATAAAACTAAAAATATTGGTCCATTGGATCAAACTTAATAATGAAATATGTCCAAAGCTAGAGTTTTTTCTTGTTCTTTAGTTTGGCATAGCTACAATTCAGCATGATGTTGCACAAGCAACTCAATGAAAAATCATCTACAACTGAAAACATGACTGTTATGTGAGGGGGACAGTGGATTTAGCCATTGAGAAAGTCTTTTGATTGGCAAAAAAGGCAATAATTTTGTCCTGAGATATTGTTTAGTGTAGCTTAACCGTATTTAATCCAGCAAGGGCAGTTAAAGAGCAGTTAAAGCCTGATTTAAATCAGTTAAATCACTGTTGAGACGGGCTCAGAAGTTATTTAAATGAGAGTTGTGGTTCATATCTCTGTGGGATCCTCCTCGTTTCAGCAATTCACGCATGTCCACGTATTCTGTGTTGTCAATATCATGCCGCTTTACATTCCTCTGCAACAGACAACAGTCGTTTGTCATAATGTATCACACAAACAGTTGATGTCAGAATTATTAGCCCCCCTTTGAATTTTATCTTCTTTTTCAAATATTTCCCAAATGATGTTTAACAGAGTAAGAAAATTTCCACAGTATGTCTGATAATATTTTTTCTTCTGGAGAAAGTCTTATTTGTTTTATTTTGGCTAGAATAAAAGCAGATTAAATTTTTTTAAAAAACATTTTATGTTCAAAAATATTAGCCTCTTTAAGCTAATCATTTCAATAGTCTACAGCAGGGGTTCCCAAACTTTTTAGCCCGTGACTCCCAGAATGACAATGCCAGTGACCCCAAATTTTCTCTGAGGTGGTTATACAGAAACCTTACCTGCAATGGCACACATACACCAATAGACCCAAGTATAATCTTCATTTAAGTTTTTAAATATATGTGAATGCTGTTAATGGGCCAGAAAGTTTGATCTGGTGTTATAAAATCAATATGCTGCATCTGACGCTATTGCTGTGTCTTTAATATAATATAAGTACCCCAGGGGTTGCAAACCAATAGAACTATTAACTATAACAGGGGTCACCAATCCTTGTCCTGGAGGGCCGGTGTCACTGCAGGGTTTAGCTCCATCTTGCCTCAACACACCTGCCTGGATGTTTCAAGTATACCTAGTAAGACCCTGGTTAGCTTATTCAGGTGTGTTTGATTAGGGTTGGAGCTAAAATCTGCAGGATACCGGCCCTTCAGGAACAAGTTTGGTGACCACTGAACTATAAGCTACTATAGTAACTAGTATATGGTAACTATAAACAACTATTATTATTTTTTTTTTTTACTTTTCTCTGTTAAACAGAAATTGGGGGGACATAAAGGGGGGGGGGGGGGGGGGTTAGTGGATGATCAGAATAATTCTGACTTCAACTGTACATTGAAGACAGACATTAAGAATGCTCTTACCTGCATTGGCACATAGGTCAGATTGTCAGCAGACTCAAGCTTCTGGTCCTTTAAGTAAAAGACAAAAATATTATGGTATGTAACATGCAGTAGGGTGATATAATGTGGTTGTAATAGTATCATTAAAGGGAGAGTTCACACAAAAATGAACATTCTGTCATCATTTGCTCATGCTTCATTTGTTCAAAGAATGTTTGGATTTACTTTTTCTGTTGAACACAAATTAAGATATTTTGAGGAATGTCAGAAAAAGCAACCACTGACTTCCATAGTATTTGTTGTTCCTGCTATGGATGTCAGTGGCTGCTTTTTTCCCCCAACATTCCTCAGAATATCTTGTTTTGTGTCCAAAAGAAAAACGAAAGTTTAGAACTACTTGAGTTTGAGTAAATTATTATTATTTTTTTTTTTTGATTATTATTATTATTGTTTTGGATTAACTATTCCTTTAAGCTTGTAAAATCCAAAATCTGATGCCTTTTGCAATGTGATTTAATTCAGATGTAATTTAAATGTAAGAATTAAGATGCAGTATATCAACAGAATGATTGATTTCCAGCTATAATTTGACACTTGCGCACAAAGGACTGAATAAAAACATGACAAAAGGCAGAAGCTTTAGTATACTACGGTATTATTACGAGTCTTACGTAGGCCAGGCAAAAGTAAGAGGCCGATTTAAATGCAGTTTATTAATTAATAATTCCAAAACTAGAACACAGATAGGACTGGAGATCAGTAAGGACAGGAACAGAAAACAAAAAGACACTGAGCCTATAAACAGAAGTGCAAACAGTAGATTTGAGACTGGAGACAATTAGTGAGAGTGGTCTGGATGCAGACCTGGTGCAGTACAATTTGCATCCAATGCTTTTTAATGGGCTCACCAAACCCCACCCCTAACCCTACCCATCACAGTGATATCACTCACTCCATTTGAGTGCATTGTGTCTGACATTACATCGCTCAATTGCATTGAATCTCAGCTTGCATTATAAAGCCTGCATACTATTGCAATTAGTTACTGGACGGTTGCCAAGTCTGTGGTTTTTATCATGGAATAGGGCTACTTCCAAACAACTAGCTCCTAAAATTTTGACATATTACTTGAGTAATATTATATGGTAGCATTAAATTATTCTAATGCAATCTAAAGTGATGACTATTTATGCTTTGTAAATCTCCTATACAGTTGAAGTCAGAATTATTTGCCCCCGTTTATTTTTTCCCCCAATTTCTGTTTAACGGACATAAGTTGTTTTTTTTCTGCACATTTCTAAACATAATAGTTTTAATAACTCATTTCTAATAACTGATTTATTTTATCTTTGCCATGATGTCACTAAATAATATTTGACTAGATATTTTTCAAGACACTTCTATACAGCTTAAAGTGACATTTAAAGGCTTAACTAATTAGGTTAACTAGGCAGGTTAGGGTAATTAGGCAAGTTAATGTTTAACAATGGTTTGTTCTGTAGAATATTGAAAAAAAATTGCTTAAAGAAACTATTAATTTTGTACTTAAAATTGTTTTTAAAAAAATTAAAAACTGCTTTTATTCTTGCCAAAATAAAACAAATAAGACTTTCTCCAGTAGAAAAAATATTATCAGACACCCTTTGAATATTTCCTTGCTCTGTTAAACATAATTTGGGAAATATTAAAAAAAAATTAAATAAAATTCAAAGGGGGGCAAATAATTTTGACTTTAACTAAATGACAATTAAAGGCTCCGTTATATTCTAAACAGGACAAACATAAAATAAAATTACTATACAGTTTAGACTTTGCTAAATAACGTTTAAAATGATGTATCATAATATATTCATAAATTATCATACTGTTGTTGTTTTATCCAATTTTATGCTGTATTTGACACTCCTGTTATTCAGCAATGTTTAAACTTTACAGTTATTTTATGCTTTTAGATACAGGATCGTAGCCATGGGGGGTTGGGAAGACCCACCCCTCACTGACAAAGGTCCAGAATTTGTTCTATTTTGACTGTTAAGCAATTATAAATAGTGAAAATAACCTACTGAAAAAAGGCTTTAAGACCAAACGGAATCCTCTGTTGGCTGTCACTTTGCATTACTTTAGCTAATTAGTTTTGGCCAATGCTAACAAATAATTTAATTTTATGAACTGAGAAGTCATCGTGAGCTACTGTATTGATGTAAAAAAAAAGAAAACATTTTACCCGTAACTTTTATTCTAAATCTTAGACCTTATTCTTGAAACAAAAATGAGCAATAAAAAGGTGTGAAGCATCAAAAGTGGACCATATGAAATTCATTTGAATACTATTTTGGCTATTGTTGTTATGAATTTTCAAATGCACTTTTATATACAAGAAAGGCTAGAAAAATGGTAAAGTTCTACATTATTATACTGTGTTTTTAATTATTATTAAAGACATTTCTGACTGAGGACAGTTTAATGTGCTGCTGCAGTTTTTATTTTAAAACTTTTTTCTAATGATATATGATGTAACAAATATGTATTTTAAAAAAAGTAATATTTCACTTAATTTTTTTCATTAGAAATCTTTTGTAAATATTTTTAAACATGTGATCATGATGACCATCCGACAAAATAATTCAGCTAAAAATACCACTTAAAATGTCACTAAAATGCAGTATTTAAATATCTTAATTGAATAGAGGTGTATAACTGCAAAAAGGTCCACTTTTTGAGAAAAAAAGAACCACCCCTTTTTGGCTGGCCCAGATGATAAGATGTATTGTTCATTTGATACTGACCCTTGTTATTGTCATTTATGAGCATAAATAAAACATAAAAAGTCCACACTTTAGATTAGGTCACAAAACTGGATGAAGCATTTATTAACATACCAATTACCCATTAATATATGCCAGAAAAAAAAAGATATATAACTGATTATTTGAATAGTTTATTAACTCATTCTGAATGAGCTTTAAAAAAACATCAACTTCTCTAAAATAACTGGTTTGTAAATAATGCAATACTGAATTTAGTAGTGAAAAATATTTATGAAAACACAATCATTAAGCACATTATACATGCACTGTAAAAAATCCGTAACTTTATGTTTTTTTTTTTTCCAGCAGCAGAGGTAAAAACGCAACGGCTGTTCAATTACAGACATTTACTGTAAAATAACAGAAATAAATTTTTATTTCTGGTAAAGTTCTGTTATTCAACCTCTGTTATTTTAGAGTAAATTTCTGTAATTTAACGGCTGTTATTTTACGATTTTTTTTACGGTACCCCTGCTTCCGGAAATAAACCGCAAAATTACTGATTTTTTTTTACAGTTTGTGAATATAAGTCAAGAATACAGCATTTGTAGCTGTAGTTATAAACTGTTTACTAACGTCTAATAATGTAGATATGCTAATGCTTAGTAAATTACTTGCACTGTATTAGTTTAAAGTATTACCAATTTGTTTGAATGATGTTTATAGGACCAAGTAAAACCCAACATTTGGATTTACCACAGTCAATTTGAGTGTGATAAAACCCAACAAACAGACACAGGCAATAAAAATTCTGTAAATGCTTTACCCTCAATCTGATGTAGGTCACAGTTACAATGATGCTGTAGAAAGAGAGCATCACCAGCACAATGATCAGAACTAAGATCAGTAAGGGATAAATGTCTTCAAGTTGATTCCTTGGTGGTAGGGGGACAGTTGTGTTGTAGCATGGAGAACTAAGAGTTGCCACAGCGTTACTGCAACCTTAAATACAAGCCATTTAAATGAAATGAAAGAAAGTCTTCCACATTATTTCAGAGAGTAAAAAAAAAACTGATGTTTTCGTTACAGGACGAGTTGATAACATACCTTGGAAAAGCTTAGCTTCAGGCCCTGTCATTGTTTCGACAGGGAATGGTTTAATTTTCGATATCTCACAGGAAAATGTAGAATTGTGTATGTCTTTGGGATTGTTCAATTTAAACATGAATTTATTGTCTTCATAACGCCATGAACAGCTTTTTCCACTAGTTTCAACTTTGCCTTCAACCTCACACACATATTTGCCATTCATTTTCAGCTTGGCGTCCAATTCACTGAAATTTTCATTTCCCAAAATCATGCATGTGACATTGACTGATCCATCGTCATTGAGTGTGTGGTTGAGAGGTTCACTCACGTCCCAGATGCAGTGTGCTACAAGGGAACAAAGATACCAAAACAGTTTAGATTTAATTTTATTAATAGATTTCATTAATTGATCAAACACTTTAGATTTAATGTTTACTTTGAGAAAAGAGTTTGGGTCTGAACATCTTTACATGCACAAACAGTACTTTTACAATAAAAGTATAATCTGCTAAAGCAGAGTTCACCCAAAAATGAAAGTCTGTCATAATACTCATCCTCTACTTGTTTTAAAGCCTATTTGAGTTCCTTTTATTTCTGTTGAAGACAAAAACAAAATTGATTTTGAAGAATGTTGGGGATCTGGTAGCCATGAATCACATTGTATATTCTTTTTAGCGGGCATTTCTGTGTGGAGTTTGCATGTTCTCCCCGTGTTCGCGTGGGTTTCCTCAGGGTTCTCCGGTTTCCCCCACAGTCCAAAGACATGTTCTGTAGGTGAACTGAATAAGCTAAATTGAACATAGTGTATGTGTGCGAATGAGTGTGTATGGATGTTTCCCAGTGATGGGTTGCAGCCGGAAGGGCATCCGCTGTGTAAAACATATGCTGGATAAGTTGCCGGTCTATTCCGCTGTGGAAAACCCATGATTAATAAAGGAACTAAGCCAAAAATAATATAAATGAATGAATGAATAAATGATTCTTTTTTGCCTATTTGGACGTCAATGGCTACCGGTTCCCACATTCATTCATTCATTCATTCATTCATTCATTCATTCATTCATTCATTCATTCATTTTCTTTTCAGCTTAGTTCCTTTATTAATCATGGGTTGCCACAGCGGAATGAACCGCCAACTTAACCAGCATTTGTTTTACATATTTCAGCTGCAACTTAGCACTGGGAAACACCAACACACTCTTGCATTCACACCCACACCACGGCCAGTTAAGCTTATCCATTTCACCTATTGTAAATGTCTTTGGACTGTGGGAAAACCCACGCAAACACGGGGAGAACGTGCAAATTCCGAGCCAGCAATCTTCTTGCTGTGAGGTGACAGTGCTACCCACTGTGCCAGCATGTCACCCTCTGGTTCCCAAAAAAAAAAAAAAAAAAATCTATTCTGTTCAACAGAAATAATATACTCATAAAGGTTTGGAACAACAAATTAGTCAATTTTAATTTTTATGGGAACGTTCTTTTCTCATTTATAACGACGATTAAACCCATTTAAAAAGGTTGAATCTAAAATCACCCAGAATGTCGACTTTGATTTATGTCACCTCAAATGTCACCTTAATTCAGACATGTGCAAGTATTAATATTGATCTTATTCTTTAATGCGGAAGTGCACTCGTTGTTGAGATTGTTTTCAACTTCCGAATCAGTCGTTTATGCGAGAAATGACTAGGAATAATAAATGGCAGAACCTGTTTGCTTTACAAATGTCCACGGCTATACATAAGTAGAATAAAATAATAAGAAAAGTTTGCAACATGAAGCAGCATAACAAGCTGTTTTTAATTTCTAAACATCAATGGAAGTGAATGAGATTGGAAGTCTTGAGCGAAAAAGATTGCAATGGCTGCGCTAGCTCGTAGCCTACTGTACATGAACATTAAGGTCAATATTCAGATGGATTTTTCGTTAAAGGTGTATTAAGATCTTTAAATTAGCACTGATTTGCTTTTCAGAGTATTTGTATGACACGACCACATTCTGATTAACACGTGTAAATGCAATGTTTGAATTTAACAAGCTCAGCTTTTTTAAAGATATCACTGGAATATGTACTATTTTAGACATCTTACAATAACATTACATACTTTGATGTTAACATAAACAAATAAAACCAAGTAAAAATTATTGTAGCGTACATGATTATTGGATACAGATTATTGTAGGTTACCAGTGTAATATACAGTACGTTTTCACTGCTGAAAAAAACATCTTAAACCAGCCTAAGTAGGTTGGCTGGTTTTAGCTGGTCGAGCAGCCTGGTTTTAAAGGGGTTTTAGCGATTTCCAGGCTGGTTTCTAGTCATGTCCTGCCAGGACTTGGCCAGCTATAACCAGGCCAAGCTGGTCAAGTTGGTTTTAGCTGGTCATCTCCCAGCCTGACCAGCTAAGATCAGGTTGGAATAGGGTGGAAAAGGGTCTGGATTGGCCAAAACCCCTCTAAGACCAGGCTGGTCGACCAGTTAAATACAACCAACCAGCCTAGGCTGGTTTAAAATGTTTTTTTTTTTTTGTTTTTTTTTTTTAGCAGGGTTGTTTTAGTGGTTTTACCAAAAACTTAAAGAGACACTTCACCAAAAATGTTCTTTATTTACTCACCCTTTAGTTGTTTAAAGCCTATTTGAGTTTTTATTTATTTATTTATTTTTATTTTTATTTTTATCACAAAAGAAGATATTTTGGTTCCTCTAACCACTGACTTCTATAGTATTTTTTCCTATAATTATACTAAGTCAAGAAGTGCCAGCAATCAACATTCTTCAAAATATCTTATTTTGTGTTCAACAGAAGAAAGAAACCGACACTGTAAAAGAAGATGTGATGACAACTTATGTCAACAGTTGTTTTCCACTAGTATTTATAGGAGTTGCAACTAAATTCTTTAAGGCATACAATGTTTAACTTAAAATTGTTGTCATTTTGGCTGATGTAAGTTGTGATGACTAAAAACTTAGTTTAATTCAATTAAAACATGTAAGGCTGCAAGATTTTTACAGTGCATAATGGTGTAAAACCACATTAGGGAGAATAAATGAGGTAATAGGAACTGTCCACACTATTAAAAAGGCAGGGTTCCATGCAATTGTGTTGTCTCAACGCAAATCGATTAAGTTAACGTAACAATTTCAAGTGGACTTAAAACAAGTAAGTTTCCCAAAGCAATCTCCTAAATTGTGTTGCTTCAGCTCATTTAAATAAGTAGTTTGAACACGCAGCAAAAGTAATTGTTTTGAGAGCATTTAACCAAGTAAGAAACTCACCCCACACATATGCCAAAAAACGAAGCATCTTGTATTTAAGTTGATCCAAATAAATCTAATCAAGTTGAACAAACACAAAACAGTGATCATCAACAATTAAAGACAGATGAGTCTCTTACCATTGTGAAGCATGAGAGAAAAGCTGAGAGCAATAAGAGTGAAGATGTCAGGCATGTTGTCGTATCCTCGTCAGTTTGACAGTGTGATGCTTGGTGTAGATCTTCACTTTGTTTTTGCTGGAGTATGAAAACACAGGAAGTTTGTGTGCTGATCAATATCCACCCACACATCTGACACCCGCTATAGCATGTGGAGATGTTTAGATGTGGAGATAGGACAGCAGTATTTACACAGACTTTTGCTAAATGTTCTTTTTGCAAAATGAATCATAACATGGGAAAGAGTTTGTTTATAACAGTGATGTTGGCTCTTTTTGCTTCAAGTGTCCCAGGCGAGACACTTTTTTGGCAGTGAAGAAGTGAGTGGGCAGATTTCTCGTAATATGAAGTTGTCAAAAGGGAAATGTTTGATGCACAAGTATGTTAGGAAAAACCCACATAATGAGCAATATCTCGATTTGCTTAATGCAAAATGCGTTTTAGTTTCATAAAACAGGCTAAATAAAAAACAAAATCAGTTCGTTCTCATGTTGTTCATTGATAGTACGCTCTAAGAAAAATAGCTGGGTTGTTTTAATTTGGATGAAATATTTGGTTGAATTTTGGTTGAATTTTGGGTTGTATTAAAATGTCATTTAAGAAATAACACCAAAAATGGGATGGTTCATATTTTAGCAAAAGTCAGGTTAAAATAATCCCGCATTTAAAGCCTGAAGTCAAATGTTAGGCTAAGATTGTGTGTAAACATACGTAACACTTGGTAACACTTTATTTTGACAGTCTATTTAAGTATTAGTAGACTGTCCGCTTCATATTTGTTGATACTGCTCCTTTAAATGACTATAAAAACTTTGCAAGTACTTCAACTTACACTAACCCTAACCCTAAACCCAACCCTAAACCCAACAGTCTACTTATAATCTAATGAGAATTAGTTGGCATGTAGATGCAGTGTAACTTAGATTCAACAAACGGACCATCAAAATAAAGTGTAACCAACATTTTTTGTCTGACAGAAAAGCTGTTGTTTGAAAAAGATAAACGAGACCAGTAATTGGTTAAAGCTCAATTAGCCTCTTAATGCTTTGTGGTTGCGTTCGTTTGTGGTTTCAGACCCAACATGTTTCTCCATTTCAACATCCTGTTGAAGCATCACAAACATGAAAGCGCAGCAACCTATCTCGTAGTCATGTCCTGTTTTTATGATGGATAGCTGAGCTTCACAGAACCGAGACATGTTTGTGATATTTCTGTGAGTATGCACTGTAAAAAATGCAGGGTTTCACACAATTTATTCATGTTGTCCCAACACAAATTGATTAAGTTAACTTAACACTTTTAACAAATTTACGTGGATTGAACATAAAAAATATATATTGTAATGCATTACTTATCCAACTTAGTCACTTATCCCAACACTCCTCATGGGGACCAGAAAGTAAAAGTCCACACAAAGTTAAAATGTACTGGTATTGCTACATAATTGTGGAGACACTTGTTCCCCGCAAAGTCAGGAATACAAGTACACTTAATAATATAAACTTTGCTCGTTCAAAATCCATTTTTTTAAAATGAGCTGAAACAACACAATTCTTAAGATTTCATTGGGACAACTTAATTTTTTTATGTTCAATCCACATAAATTTGTTAAAAGTTATAAGTTGTCCCAATGAAACTTCAAGAATTGTGTTGTTTCAGCTCATTTTAAAAAAGTTGCTTGAACGTGCAAAAAATATATTTTTAACTGTACTTTTATTCTTGACTTTGCGGGGACCAAGTGTCTCCACAATTATAGCAAAACCAATAGATTTTAACTTTGTGTGGACTTATTTGGTCCCCCATGAGAAGTGTTGGGGTAAGTGACTAGAAAGTAATGCATTACAATATTGAGTTACTCCCCCAAAAAAGTAACTAGTTGCGTTACTTTTTTATAGTAAGTAATGCGTTACGTTACTTTTGAGTTACTTTTGTGTTATTTTTCATTACCTGTCTGAGGCTTTATCTCTTTCAGAACTTTTTTTTCTTTCCTTTTTTAAATAGAGGAGTTCTGCAATTAACAATGCACTGTATAATCTCGTTGACTGCATGATTCATTGTTCATTTATTAATTCATTTTCTTTTTAGCTTAGTCCTTTTATTAATCTGGGGTAACCACAACGCAATGAACCACCAACTTATCCAGCATATGTTTTATGCAGCGGATGCCCTTCCAGCTGAAACCCAATCACAAGGAAACTCCCATACACTCTCATTCACACACATACACTATGGCCAATTCAGCTTACCCAATTCACCTGTACCACATGTCTTTGGACTTGTAGGGGAAACCGAAGCACCCAGAGGAAGCCCACACGAACACGGGGAGAACATGCAAACTCCTAGCCGAGGGTTGAACCAGTGACCTTCTTGGTGTGAGGCAACATCGCTACCGACTGCGCCACCATGCCGCCCTGCGTGATTCATTGCGACTACTTTCATTTAAATTCAGTGATTTATTTTTAAAAGCAAATTATTTAAACTAAAAAGTAACTTGCGTCACATTTTCAAAAAGTAACTCAAATATACTTATTTTGTAAAAATAGTGCGTTGCTTTACTTAGAAAAGCAATATTATTATGTAACTCGTATTATTTGTAAATGTTACCCCCAATACTGCCCATGAGGAGATCAGCTCGGATCCAAGTATTTTTAAAAGGTAAATACAAAGCAGAATGTTTCCTGTGACGGTTGGGTTAAAGATAATTATACTTTTATATAAATTATAAAAGTTTGTAGAGTATAAAAATCATTATCATTATAGGACGCCCCCATAAAGATAGTTGTACGTTAGTTTGTGTGTGGTTGTGTGTGTGTGTGTGAGAGAGAGAGAGAGAGAGAGAGAGAGAGAGAGAGAGAGAGAGAGAGAGAAGAAGAGATGTCTGATAAGACGACTGATGGCTTTAAAAAAAGAGATGTAATGCACTGAAAAAATGTTAAATACAAGTAAAATGTCTGTTTTTATCATGTTTATTAATTACGTTGTCGAAATAAAATGAAAGTAAAATATGCCATTCATTGTAAATTTACAGTCTTAAAAAAAATTAAGATTCTTAGTAGCATTGATGGTTCCATCAAGAACCTTTACATCCTACAAAATGTTATAGAGCAAATCTTTTGTTGTACAATAGCACACATTCACTCTCTGTTTCTCACACACATACAACCCTACAAGTCTACTTACACCATTATGAAGTCAGAATTATTAGTCGACGTTTATTTATTTCCCCAATTTCTGTTTAACAGAGATATTTCTTCAACACATTTCTAAACATTATAGTTTTAATAACTAATTTATATTAACTGATTTATTTTATTTTTGCCATGATGGCAGTAAATAATATTTTACTTGATATTTACTTGATAGGCAAGTTATTGTATGATGGTTTGTTCTGTAGACTATCGAAAAAATATAAAGCTTAAAGGGGCTAATAATATTGACCTTAAAATGTTTTTTAAAAAATTAAAAACTGCTTTTATTCTAGCTGAAATAAAACAAAAAAGACTTTCTTCAGAAGAAAACATATTATCAGAGATACAGTAAAAAAATTTCCTTGCTCTGTTAAACATCATTTGGAAATTATTTAAAAAAGAAAAAAAAAATCAAAAGGTGTTTAACGATTCTGACTTCAACTGTAAGAAACATGATTCCCACTTTAAATAATGTGCAATATGCATTACTGGTAACTACATATATTTACATTTCTCATTTAGCAGATTCTTTTATCCAAAGCAACTTACAAATGTGGAACTGCTTAAAAGGCAACCTCATGTATAAGTACAAATGTGTAACAGGACATTGGTAACCAACAACACGTATCTCATCTGAAACTACATGTGTAGCAACAAGTGTGTAAGTGTATTTTGTAACAAGTATTTCTACTTGCACAAACAGACTTCAATACTGCTAACAATGTCAAACTTAACATGTGAATATGTTTGTTACTTTATATTTCTTATATCTTATTTCAAGGCATCACAGTGGCGCAGTGGGTAGCATGATCGCCTCACATTAGGAGGGTCATGGGTTTGAGCCTCGACTGGGTCAGTTGGCATTTCTGTGTGGAGTTTGCATGTTCTCCCCATGTTGGTGTGGGTTTCCTCTGGGTGCTGCGGTGTCCCCCACAAGTCCAAAGACATGCGGTACAGGTGAATTAGGTAAGCTAAATTGTCCATAGTGTATGTGTGCGAATGAGTGTGTGTGGATGTTTCCCAGTGGTGGGTTGCAGCTGGAAGGGCATCCGCTGCGTAAAACATACACTGGATAAGCTGGCGGTTCATTCTGCTGTGGTGACCCCAGATTAATAAATGGACCAACCAGAAAAGAAAATGAATGAATGAATAACTCATTTAGCAAAAAAAAAAAAAAGTAACATTATTTTTATTGTTTTCATGTATATTAAGGGGTACTTAATATTAAACGGTGACACAGTGGCTCAGTGGTTAGCACTGTCACCTCACAGCAAGAACGTTATTGGTTCGAGTCCTGGCTGGACCAGTTGGCATTTCCGTATGGAGTTTGCATGTTCTCCCCGTGTTCACATGGGTTTCCTCCGGGTGCTACTGTTTCCCCCACAGTCCAAAGACATGCGCTATAGTGTCCTCGACCGCCCCACCTGCACATTTTGTATGTCCTCTTTACTTAATCCACTTGATTCAGACCATCAGCTCATTAACAGAGAGATCCATGAACTGATCCCTGTGTGTCAAATCAGAGAGACATACAAAATGTGCAGGGCTGGGGAAGGGGGCGGACCACTGATGTCGTGTAATTGGCCATTGTGTATGTGTGTGAATGACTATGGATATGGAGTATGGATGTTTCCCAGTGATGGGTTGGAGCTGGAAGGACATCCACTGTGTAAAACATATTCTGGATAAGTTGGCGGTTCATTCCACTGTGGTGCCCCTGATAAATAAAGGGACTAAACAGAAGGAAAATGAATGAATAAACTTAATAATCAAGTAAGACAGAAAATGTTGGAACTTGATTAATTGTTGATAAAAGGATTTGTCAAAAACGACCAATTACATCTTATCGTGGAAAATAGGTTTATTTGAATATGCATAAAATTGCATAAAAAATATACACAGAAAAAAGTCAACATTTCAGAAATCAAACAAACTCTTACAATTTATCAAATTGTGACATCTTCTCCCAACCAGCCATATGTAAAAGTAGAACATTTATTAGAACTGTTGGAACAATTCTTTATTCATTTCCCCTCTTTAGCCATAATAAACAGTTGCTCAACCACCATTTTTATTTTAAAGGGGATCTATTATGCACCTTGTTTACAATAATCTCTGATGTCCCTAGAATGTGTATGTTACGTTTCAGCTCCAAATACCCCTAAATAATTATTTATAACTTTTTGAAACGTACCCTTGTAGGCTTTAATTCTAATTGTGCCATTTTGGCGACTGTTACTTTAAATGCAAATGAGATTGTGCTCTTTTTAAAATAGGGCGGAGCTACAGATGCCTATGTGTCAGCATAGTGGCAGTTTTAAAAGCAAGACTAACGTCTTATGCTAATGAGGAAGAAATAGTCACCAATGGGCGGAGCTTTTCCCCTCTGATGACATGTACGAAGAGAAAATGTCAATCAAAGTGTTTCTATTGACTGTTTTATCAAGTGTGATTATAATAAAAAAATGAATACATTTTTACCATTAGAAGCTGGTTATATTCACACAGTTTCCACACAAATGTATTTAAACTTCTTATAAAACTGATGTTTGCATAATAGGTCCCCTATTATGGGTTATTTTTTTTACATAAAAAAGAAAACTATTGTTTAAAAAATAAAAAATAACTTCTAATATCAGTGTAAATACATGTGAATACATGCAGGTAGGAATACATGTGAGTACATGTAGAAAATACAGTGCATACATGTCAATACATGCAGGTAAAAATGACATGTAAATACATGCGGGAGAAAATGACATGCGAGTACATGCAGGAAGGGGAAAATCACGCCCCCTAGAATTTCACATAGCTCTCTTTTTGGGAAAGCATTGGTGCCATAGATGAAGAAGTTCTCCATTTGCAGATGGCGATCTGTTATAGAGAAGAGGAAAATGTAAATGACATCTGTTCACATTAATGTCAAACACTTAAAAAAAATGGGTTCCACACTGTTCTTTCATGTTGTCCAAACATAAATTGATTAAGTTGACTTAATTTTAACAAATTTAAGTGGTTTGAACATAAAACAAGTTACCCCTGCAAAAAAAAATAATAATAAATTAAAATTAAGAATTGTGTTGATTTAGCTCATTTTAATTAAGTAGTCTGAACAAGCAGGAAATATATTTTTGAGTCAACTGTAAATACTGTAAGAGTTCATCTAAAGCCTACAATAGTTTTAGCCTGTTGAAAAGACCATGAACTACCTGCTTTATACAAAGTTTGCTTTTAAAAGAAAAAATAGCAATTACTTTACCTAAAAATGTGAGTAAACCTGTTGCCACAAGTTGACTTTAAGTAAAATAAGAGCTAACCTGTTGTAACTTGGAGTGGTTAGGCTGAATTAACTTCATTTTTTTTTTTTTTTTTTTTTTTGCAAATTTGCACATTTCCTAATTTTAGGGCAACAGAAAGCCAACTGATACCTTTTTAAAGTGTAAACATGCACAAATTGTGTGAATGAACATGATATCTTTATCGTGGGCACCTCATACAGCAAACAGTTTATGATTGTTGTATTTCAGTGGTTTTAATCACAGCACCAAAATCTTTGAAAATAATTAAAACTTAAAATTTGCATTTTATTTCAACCCAATTGACTGACATAAATACTATTTTGCATCAGAGACAGACAGATTAGGGTAGAGATCCTGATCTTTTCAGTGGAATAAAAAAAATAAAAACAATACGGGAATAGACATTTTTCTCACCTGTAGAAAAAAACTGCAGGAAATGATGATCAAGATGATGTATAGCAGAAGAAGTGGACCAATATCATTTTCAACAGTTTCCCGATCTGATGTCTGGCTCTTGCTTTGACGCTGGCTCTGGGTGGATGCATTGTGTGCAGTGAGGCAGTTTGGGATTTCTATGAAAGAACATCAGTTATTACTAAAATTGTCCTCTGGATGTCACCCTGCCACACACATCTACCACTTTATGTGCACAGAAAGCCAATGCAAGCCTGTATGTAAATCATCCTTCATTTAAATTCTACAAGACCAAAAGAATGACAGTTTAACAGTTGAGGCCTGTTCTGTTTGAAAATAGGAAGCTCGTGCTCTTCAAGTGTTACTCTTCCCATCTTTGATGTTTTTTTTCAACCCTTTAGCATTTAAGAGCTTACGTTTGCACACTTCAGTTTCGTCATAAAGAAATCTACATTTTCAAAGAAAAACATCATTCACATGTAAAGTCAAAGTTTCCAATGGTAATATCAAAAATGTAGAGCACAATTGCTGTAAAGTAGAGTGCGCCGGGGAGGCCCCGTTTCCACCCTTGTATTTTCAGGTGACCTCAGATTTCCTCCTTCAGTCGTTTATGTTATACTCTGCTCTCTGGCTCACTCTAGCGCTTTAAAGAGATGACTCAATCAAAAAAAAATAATCTAAATTCTGTCTTCATTTATTACCTGTTTGAGTTTCATCAGTTAAACACAAAAGACGATGTTTTAAAGATTCATACCTTGAAAAAGCTTAGCTTCTGGCCCTGCCTTTGTTTCGACAGGGAATGGTTTAATTTTCGATATCTCACAGGAAAATGTAGAATTGTGTATGTCTTTGGGATTGTTCAATTTAAACATGAATTTCTTGTCTTCATAATGCAATGAACAGTTTTGTCCACTAGTTTCACCTTTGTCTTCAACCTCACACACATATTTGCCATTCATTTTCAGCTTGGCGTCCAATTCACTGAAATTTTCATTTCCCAAAATCATGCATGTGACATTGACTGATCCATCGTCATTGAGTGTGTGGTTGAGAGGTTCACTCACGTCCCAGATGCAGTGTGCTACAAGGGAACAAAGATACCAAAACAGTTTAGATTTAATTTCATTAACAGATTTCATTAATTGATCAAACAGTTTAGATTTAATGTTTACTTTGAGAAAAGAGTTTGGGACTGAACATCTTTACATGCACAAACAGTACTTTTACAATAAAGTATAATCTGCTAAAGCAGAGTTCACCCAAAAATGGAAGTCTGTCATAATACTCATCCTCTACTTGTTTTAAAGCCTATTTGAGTTCCTTTTATTTCTGTTGAAGACAAAAACAAAATTGATTTTGAAGAATGTTGGGGATCTGGTAGCCATGAATCACATTGCATATTCTTTTTAGCGAGCATTTCTGTGTGGAGTTTGCATGTTCTCCCCGTGTTCGCGTGAGTTTCCTCCGGGTTCTCCGGTTACCCCCACAGTCTAAAGACATGTTCTGTAGGTGAACTGAATAAGCTAAATTGAACAGTGTATGTGTGCGAATGTGTGTGTATGGATGTTTCCTAGTGATGGGTTGCAGCCGGAAGGGCATCTGCTGTGTAAAACATATGCTGGATAAGTTGCCGGTCTATTCCGCTGTGGCAAACCATGATTAATAAAGGAACTAAGCCAAAAATAATATGAATGAATGAATGAATAAATGATTCTTTTTTGCCTATTTGGACGTCAATGGCTACCGGTTCCCACATTCATTCATTCATTCATTCATTCATTCATTTTCTTTTCAGCTTAGTTCCTTTATTAATCATGGGTTGCCACAGCGGAATGAACTGCCAACTTAACCAGCATTTGTTTTACATATTTCAGCTGCAACCCAGCACTGGGAAACACCAACACACTCTTGCATTCACACCCACACCACGGCCAGTTAAGCTCATCCATTTCACCTATTGTAAATGTCTTTGGACTGTGGGAAAACCCACGCAAACACGAGGAGAACGTGCGACCTCCACACAGAAATGCCGACTGACCCAGCCAGGGCTCGAGCCAGCGATCTTCTTGCTGTGAGGTGACAGTGCTACCCACTGTGCCAGCATGTCACCCTCTGGTTCCCACATTTAAAAAAAAAAAAAAAAAATCTATTCTGTTCAACAGAAATAATATACTCATAAAGGTTTGGAACAACATTAAGGCAAGAAATTAGTCAATTTAAATTTTTATGGGAACGTTCTTTTCTCATTTTTTAACGACGATTAAACCCACTTAAAAAGGTTGAATCTAAAATCACCCAGAATGTTGACTTTGATTTATGTCACCTCAAATGTCACCTTAATTCAGACATGTGCAAGTATTAATATTGATCTTATTCTTTAATGCGGAAGTGCACTCGTTGTTGAGATTGTTTTCAACTTCCAAATCAGTCGTTTATGCGAGAAATGACTAGGAATAATAAATGGCAGAACCTGTTTGCTTTACAAATGTCCACGGCTATACATAAGTAGAATAAAATAATAAGAAAAGTTTGCAACATGAAGCAGCATAACAAGCTGTTTTTAATTTCTAAACATCAATGGAAGTGAATGAGATTGGAAGTCTTGAGCGAAAAAGATTGCAATGGCTGCGCTAGCTCGTAGCCTACTGTACATGAACATTAAGGTCAATATTCAGATGGATTTTTCGTTAAAGGTGTATTAAGATCTTTAAATTAGCACTGATTTGCTTTTCAGAGTATTTGTATGACACGACCACATTCTGATTAACACTTGTGTAAATGCAATGTTTGAATTTAACAAGCTCAGCTTTTTTAAAGATATCACTGGAATATGTACTATTGTAAACATCTTACAAGAACATTACATAATTTGTTAACATAAACAAATAAAACCAAGAAAAAATTATTGTAGCGTACATGATTATTGGATACAGATTATTGTAGGTTACCAGTGTAATATACAGTATGTTTTCACTGCTGAAAAAAAACATCTTAAACCAGCCTAAGTAGGTTGGCTGGTTTTAGCTGGTCGAGCAGCCTGGTTTTAGAGGGGTTTTGGTGATTTCCAGGCTGGTTTCTAGTCATTTCCTGCCAGGACATTGCTGGTCAGGCTGGAAAATGACCAGCTATAACCAGGCCAGGCTGGTCAAGTTGGTTTTAGCTGGTCATCTCCCAGCCTGACCAGCTAAGATTAGGTTGGAATAGGGTCTGGATTGGCCAAAATCCCTCTAAGACCAGGCTGGTCGACCAGTTAAAACCAACCAACTAGCCTAGGCTGGTTTAAAATGTTTTTATTATTAAATTTTTTTTAGCAGGGTTGTTTTAGTGGTTTTACCAAAAACAATCTTTATTTACTCACCCTTTAGTTGTTTAAAGCCTATGAGTTTATTTATTAATTTTTTTTTTATTTTTTTTTTCATCACAAAAGATGATATTTTGGTTCCTCTAACCACTGACCTCTATAGTATTTTTTTCCCATAATTATACTAAGTCAAGAAGTGCCAGCAATCAACATTCTTCAAAATATCTTAGTGTTCAACGGAAGAAAGTAACCGACACTGTAAAAGAAGATGTGATGACAACTTATGTCAACAGTTATTTTCCACTAGTATTGATAGGAGTTGCAACAATTCTTTAAGGCATACAATGTTTAAATTAAAATTGTTGTCATTTTGGCTGATGTAAGTTGTGATGACTAAAAACTTAGTTTAATTCAATTAAAACATGTAAGGCTGCAAGATTTTTACAGTGCATAATGGTGTAAAACCACATTAGGGAGAATAAATGAGGTAATAGGAACTGTCCACACTATTAAAAAGGCAGGGTTCCATGCAATTGTGTTGTCTCAACGCAAATCGATTAAGTTAACGTAACAATTTCAAGTGGACTTAAAACAAGTAAGTTTCCCAAAGCAATCTCCTAAATTGTGTTGCTTCAGCTCATTTAAATAAGTAGTTTGAACACGCAGCAAAAGTAATTGTTTTGAGAGCATTTAACCAAGTAAGAAACTCACCCCACACATATGCCAAAAAACGAAGCATCTTGTATTTAAGTTGATCCAAATAAATCTAATCAAGTTGAACAAACACAAAACAGTGATCATCAACAATTAAAGACAGATGAGTCTCTTACCATTGTGAAGCATGAGAGAAAAGCTGAGAGCAATAAGAGTGAAGATGTCAGGCATGTTGTCGTATCCTCGTCAGTTTGACAGTGTGATGCTGGGTGTAGATCTTCACTTTGTTTTTGCTGGAGTAAGAAAACACAGGAAGTATGTGTTCAAACTTACTGGTAATACTGCGGCAGGCAAGACAAGGACAAACGACGCGATGACAAACTGTGGTGAAATGGTTGTATAAATAGTCCAGATAATCAACGGTAACACAAAACAGATGTGATGACAGGTCAGTGTAGGTGTTCCGGTGTGTGCGCGGGGCATGTATGAAAATGTAGTTTTTCTGAGACGCTGTAGTGCTGTCTTAGTCCTGATGCACTACAGCGTCCTCAGGTGGTCACTGATGGATGTGACATTACACCCCCCTCTAAAGAGCAGCTTCCAGACGCTCCCAGACTAGTTCCCAGAGAGGGGGCGGAGCGGAGCAGGAACAAAGGGAGGGATGGGAGGGCCAGATCAGGGTCAGTCTGTGGGTCAGGCACCCCGACAGGAAGCCAGGGTGCAGCCGGGGAATTAGTCCGAAATGAGAACCACCAGGGAGGGGCGGGAGGGATGACCCACGGATGATCCTGCAGAAAACACAAGGCAGGGAACCCCAAGAGAGCCAGCTGGAGAGGCGGTGGGACTGGAGGCGGCAGGGCGAGGAGCCTGGGTGGCGCCGGTAAGGCCAGAAGCCGGGCTGGAGCCGACACTGGCGGGCGCTCGGGGGCTGGAGCCGACACTGGCGGGCGCTCGGGGGCTGGAGCCGACACTGGCGGGCGCTCGGGGGCTGGAGCCGACACTGGCGGGCGCTCGGGGGCTGGAGCCGACACTGGCGGGCGCTCGGGGGCTGGAGCCGACACTGGCGGGCGCTCGGGGGCTGGAGCCGACACTGGCGGGCGCTCGGGGGCTGGAGCCGACACTGGCGGGCGCTCGGGGGCTGGAGCCGACACTGGCGGGCGCTCGGGGGCTGGAGCCGACACTGGCGGGCGCTCTGGGGCTGGAGCCGACACTGGCGGGCGCTCTGGGGCTGGAGCCGACACTGGCGGGCGCTCTGGGGCTGGAGCCGACACTGGCGGGCGCTCTGGGGCTGGAGCCGACACTGGCGGGCGCTCTGGGGCTGGAGCCGACACTGGCGGGCGCTCTGGGGCTGGAGCCGACACTGGCGGGCGCTCTGGGGCTGGAGCCGACACTGGCGGGCGCTCTGGGGCTGGAGCCGACACTGGCGGGCGCTCTGGGGCTGGAGCCGACACTGGCGGGCGCTCTGGGGCTGGTTCCTACGCCTCCTCCGTCTGGTGGTTTGAGAAGGGAGAGCATAGTTAACAGGAGAAGGAGACACTGGGGTTCCACACAGTTCGAGCAGGCTCTCCAGAGGCTCAGAAAAAGGTGATCTTCGGACAGCCCGACGCGGATAAGGGCGCAACTCTAGTCCAGCCTCTCTGCTCTTTCCCTTTGTTAAATCGGCTGGCCCCGAAAATATCCCTCTCGGTTGCCCTCCGCTCAGGCCTCCCTCCTGAGGGTTCTCCTCCCTCGGGGCAACAGAGAGAGGGGAGCCAGCGATCAACAAGGCTGCTTCAATGAAGCGGTAAAGGTTCCAGTCATCCTCATCAGGGGCGCCTCCAAGGGGTGGCCACCCCTCGGTAAACTCTGGCCACCCCTGTGGCCACCCCAATATAATTTTGCAGTTGACATTATTGATTTAAATGAACTCATAAATTCCCAATATTTAGATAAATAAGTAAATAAAATGCAGTCACTAAATTATTGTTGGTGTTACTGACGTAGCTCTCCCCCTCTGGTTCAATGCTGGTGAAAGCAAACTGACGCATGCGCGCGGAAAACCATTCCCGCGCGCCTCACGCACTCCTGTGTGAATCCCGGTTGGTTGTTTGCATGCACGCCGACATAATAGGCACCGCTCATGCGCCATGAAACCGGAGTAACAGCCTTTTGTGCAGAGGTGTCGGCACGCAGCGAGTTTGAAAGTCGTTTAAAGTTTATATAATATGATGATGATGATGATGATGATGATGTTACTTTCACTAAGCATGCCTTTAAAGCAGAAAGGAGGGATAATGAGTCAGGGAGGTAAGACTTCATAACATGATTTCTCAGCCATGATCTGGTCTAAGATCACAGAAAATTCTATAATACATTTTTTGTATTCTTTAGAATTGTCATAATTAATTTTCATGCAAAAGGTTTCTTAAGTGATGTTGGCATATCACTCCAGTTGTTGTTTTCCAGTAATATTTAGGACTGATTTCTGTTATTTATTTAGAATAATAATTGTATATTAATATTAATTGTATTTATTTAGAATAAATATAAATAAATTGTTATATTTATTGAATAACAAATCTAACAATTTAAGAGAGGTGGGGGTATAGGGTGGTTCACCCAGGGTGTCATTTAAACTAGAACCACCACTACCCTCCTCGATCGTCCTTGACAGCACGCACACACCTTCAATAGACAGCAATGGCTATTTAATATTTACCTTAAGCTACAGTATATCAATAGAAGAAGCTGCATTAATAAAATGGTTCAAAAAGCAATATGGATAAATGATATTATTAGTTATAGTGAGTGTGTATAGTAATGCCTTTTGTTCAGTTTGTTCATTTGTTTGGGTAATTAATAAACTCATTATTCTTTCATTCATTTTCTTTTCGGCTTAGTCCCTTTATTAATCCAGGGTCACCACAGCAGAATGAACCGCCAACTTATCTAGCACATTTTTACACAGCGGATGCCCTTCCAGCTGCAACCCATCTCTGGGAATAATAAACTCATTAATCTTCATTAATTTTAGACATGGCATATCTCATATGATGTACAATAAAGGCACGTAAAAAAAGAAGTTAATTATACAGTATATGAAAAGTGTTTTTAAAATAAACATAGATTTTTATTTGGTTTGCACATGTACTTGCTGGATTATTTCAAAGAATAAATTGCAATATTTCAAGTAGAATTAATTAAATGAATAAAAACTACATTATTTCATTTACCAGAAACAAAAATATAACATTACACTGAATTCATTATTTTTTTTGTGTGCCACCCCAAGATTTGGTGCGGCCTCTTCTGGCCACCCCTAAGAAAATTTTCTGGGGGCGCCACTGATCCTCATACGGTGGCATGAGGGAACGAACTGGTTCCAAAAGTCCTCCCCGAAAAAACATCATTAATAACAAGTCACTATGAGAGCTCTTCGGGGCTAGCTCCAAAAACTCCTTGATATATCGCTAAATAGAGCGATTACCTTGTTTTAGGCGCATTATACTGTTATCCGCTGGATCCATAAGTGATCGCGTCGTTCTGTCACGTTTAGCGTGATCAAAACAGACCAAAAAATAAACAGAAAGGTGCGGATCCAAGTGCGGTTTATTTACAGTGCGCATCAACAGTTAAACAAGGTGCTCAAAGTACAAATAAAAAACAAAACAAGAAACATAAAACAGAGACAAGGCTCAAGAATCAAAACTCGAATATCAAACTTACTGGGAATACTGCGGCAGGAAAGACAAGAAGGACAAACGACGCGATGACAAACTGTGGTGAAATGGTTGTATAAACAGTCCAGATAATCAACGGTAACACAAAACAGATGTGATGGGCAGGCACTTTTTTCCAGGGGTTTCAGTACAGCGTAACCGCTACTACGTCATCGGGTGGGCGTGGCCTATCTGTGATTTTGCATAGGACACGGATCATGCGCAGATTGTGAAAACAGCCGTTTGATTCAGATACCTGTACGTATTCGCAGGGGTTTCGTGTCCAATGCCTTTTATATCCAGTACAAAATAGCTGTCCTGATCGCAGGTGTTTCATGTGAATCAGTGTATGTTATATTAAACAAATTAACTTAAGATACCTCTCAGATTACATTAATACTGTTATAACTTAAGATACCTGTCCTCAGGTATCCCAGGGCTTTTGTGTCAAATACTTTATATATCATATACAGTAACATCAGATGCCTGTCCTGATCTCAGGGGTTTCATGTATAATTACTTTTATATTAGTTAACATCAGATACCTGTCCTGATCCCAGAGGTTTCATGTATGATCACTTTTATAAAGTGACATCAGATACCTGTCCTGATCCCAGGTGTTTCATGTATGATCACTTTTATAAAGTAACATCAAATACCTGTCCTGATCCCAGGGGTTTCATGTATGATCACTTTTATATTATTTACAGTAACATCAGATACCTGTCCTGATCCCAGGTGTTTCATGTATGATCACTTTTATAAAGTAACATCAAATACCTGTCCTGATCCCAGGTGTTTCATGTATGATCACTTTTATATTATATACAGTAACATCAGATACCTGTCCTGATCCCAGGGGTTTCATGCATGATCACTTTTATAAAGTAACATCAGATACCTGTGCTGATCCCAGGGGTTTTATGTATGATCACTTTTATATACAGTAACATCAGATACCTGTCCTGATCCCAGGTGTTTCATGTATGATCACTTTTATATACAGTAACATCAGATACCTGTCCTGATCCCAGGTGTTTCATGTATGATCACTTTTATATACAGTAACATCAGATACCTGTCCTGATCTCAGGGGTTTCATGTATGATCACTTTTATATTATATACAGTAACATCAGATACCTGTCCTGATCTCAGGTGTTTCATGTATGATCACTTTTATATACAGTAACATCAGATACCTGTCCTGATCCCAGGTGTTTCATGTATGATCACTTTTATATACAGTAACATCAGATACCTGTCCTGATCTCAGTTGTTTTGTGTATGATGACTTTAAATGAAAAATAGAAAATAAATATGAGTTATGTTAATTAACTAAGATCGAGAAAGAAAAATTAACCACGATTTATTACAGAAAATGTGGTATTTATTTGTTTAAACATGACTGAATACCATATTTTAAACTACAAAAACACGGTTAATCTTACCACAACCATTATTATTTGGTTTAAAATGGAAGTACAAAAGCCCAGAGACAGTAAAACAGAGTAAAACGAGGTCAGCCGTTTTTGCTAATGAAATCTTTAAAATATAACATTATAAAAACAAAAAAAATAACCTGTATGATTGTTTTTTTCCCTCGTTATCCACCGCGGTAGGTTCTTTATCCATAATCATCCTGTTTGAAATGACCGCGCTAAAAAAGAACCTGTACTGCGCATGATCGGTGACCTCTCAGTATTGTTTTTTTTTTAAGGGGGCGTTTCCCAAACACCGACCGAGCCACGCCCATTTTACGTCATGGTAATGAAACCCCTGGAATTTAGTGCATGCCGTTTGAAATGACTGCGCTAAAAAGAACCTGTACTGCGCATGATCGGTGACCTCTCAGTATTGTTTTTTTTTTAAGGGGGCGTTTCCCAAACACCGACCGAGCCACGCCCATTTTACGTCGTGGTAATGAAACCCCTGGAATTTAGTGCATGCCAGATGTGATGACAGGTCAGTGTAGGTGTTCCGATGTGTGCGCGGGGCATGTATGAAAATGTAGTTTTTCTGAGACGCTGTAGTGCTGTCTTAGTCCTGATGCACTACAGCGTCCTCAGGTGGTCACTGATGGATGTGACACAAGTATGTTAGGAAAAACCCACATAATGAGCAATATCTCGATTTGCTTAATGCAAAATGTGTTTTAGTTTCATAAGACAGGCTAAATAAAAAACAAAATCAGTTCATTCTCATGTCGTTCATTGATAGTACGCTCTAAGAAAAATAGCTGGGTTGTTTTAACCCAAATTTGGATGAAATATTTGGTTGAATTTTGGGTTGTATTAAAATGTCATTCAAGAAATAACACCAAAAATGGGATGGTTCATATTTTAGCAAAAGTCGGGTTAAACAAATTCCAGAATTTATTAAAGCATGAAGTCAAATGTAAGGCTAAGATTGTGTGTAAATATACGTAACACTTGGTAACACTTTATTTTGACGGTCCATTTAAGTATTAGTAGACTGTCCGCTTCATATTTGTTGATACTGCTCCTTTAAATGACTATAAAAAACTTTGCAAGTACTTCAACTTATACTAACCCTAACCCTAAACCCAACCCTTCGTTTGCGGTTTCAGACCCAGAATGTTTCTCCATTTCAACATCCTGTTGAAGCATCACAAACATGAAAGCGCAGCAACCTATCTCGTAGTCATGTCCTGTTTTTATGATGGATAGCTGAGCTTCACAGAACCGAGACATGTTTGTGATATTTCTGTGTGTATGCACTGTAAAAAATGCAGGGTTCCACACAATTCATTCATGTTGTCCCAACACAAATTGATTAAGTTAACTTAACACTTTTAACAAATTTACGTGGATTGAACATTAAAAATATATATATATTGTAATGCATTACTTTTCCAACTTAGCCACTTATCCCAACACTCCTCATGGGGGACCAGAAAGTAGAAGTCAACACAAAGTAAAAATGTACTGGTAATTGTGGAGACACTTGTTCCCCGCAAAGTCAGGAATACAAGTACACTTAATAATATAAACTTTGCTCGTTCAAACTACTTTTTAAAAATGAGCTGAAACTACGCAATTCTTAAGATTTCATTGGGACAACTTAATTTTTTTATGTTCAATCCACATAAATTTGTTAAAAGTTATAAGTTGTCCCAATGAAACTTCAAGATAAATTTTAAAAATATATTTTAAAGTGTACTTTTATTCCTGACTTTGCGGGGACCAAGTGTCTCCACAATTATAGCAAAACCAATAGATTTTAACTTTGTGTGGACTTATTTGGTCCCCTATGAGAAGTGTTGGGGAAAGTGACTAGAAAGTAATGCATTACAATATTGAGTTACTCCCCCAAAAAAGTAACTAGTTGCGTTACTTTTTTATAGTAAGTAATGCGTTACGTTACTTTTGAGTTACTTTTGTGTTATTTTTCATTACCTGTCTGAGGCTTTATCTCTTTCAGAACTTTTTTTTCTTTCCTTTTTTAAATAGAGGAGTTCTGCAATTAACAATGCACTGTATAATCTCGTTGACTGCATGATTCATTGTTCATTTATTAATTCATTTTCTTTTCAGCTTAGTCCTTTTATTAATCTGGGGTAACCACAACGCAATGAACCACCAACTTATCCAGCATATGTTTTATGCAGCAGATGCCCTTCCAGCTGAAACCCAATCACAAGGAAACTCCCATACACTCTCATTCACACACATACACTATGGCCAATTCAGCTTACCCAATTCACCTGTACCACATGTCTTTGGACTTGTAGGGGAAACCGAAGCACCCAGAGGAAGCCCACACGAACACGGGGAGAATATGCAAACTCCTAGCCGAGGGTTGAACCAGTGACCTTCTTGGTGTGAGGCAACATCGCTACCGACTGCGCCACCATGCCGCCCTGCGTGATTCATTGCGACTACTTTCATTTAAATTCAGTGATTTATTTTTAAAAGCAAATTATTTAAACTAAAAAGTAACTTGCGTCACATTTTCAAAAAGTAACTCAAATATACTTATTTTGTAAAAATAGTGCGTTGCTTTACTTAGAAAAGCAATATTATTATGTAACTCGTATTATTTGTAAATGTTACCCCCAATACTGCCCATGAGGAGATCAGCTCGGATCCAAGTATTTTTAAAAGGTAAATACAAAGCAGAATGTTTCCTGTGACGGTTGGGTTAAAGATAATTATACTTTTATATAAATTATAAAAGTTTGTAGAGACGCCCCCATAAAGATAGTTGTACGTTTGTTTGTGTGTGGTTGTGTGTGTGTGTGTGTGAAAGAGAGAGAGAGAGAGAGAGAGAGAGAGAGAGAGAGAGAGAGAGAGAAGAAGAAGAGATGTCTGATAAGACGACTGATGGCTTTAAAAAAAAGAGATGTAATGCACTGAAAAAATGTTGAATGCAAGTAAAATGTCTTTGTTTTTATCATGTTTATTAATTACGTTGTCGAAACAAAATGAAAGTAAAATATGCCATTCATTGTAAATTTACAGTCTTAAAAAAATTAAGATTCTTAGTAGCATTGATGGTTCCATCAAGAACCTACAAAATGTTATAGAGCAAATCTTTTGTTGTACAATAGCACACATTCACTCTCTGTTTCTCACACACATACAACCCCACAAGTCTACTTACACCATTATGAAGTCAGAATTATTAGTCGACGTTTATTTATTTCCCCAATTTCTGTTTAACAGAAAGATTTCTTCAACACATTTCTAAACATTATAGCTTTAATAACTAATTTCTATTAACTGATTTATTTTATCTTTGCCATGATGACAGTAAATAATATTTTACTTGATATTTACTTGATAGGCAAGTTATTGTATGATGGTTTGTTCTGTAGACTATCGAAAAAATATAAAGCTTAAAGGGGCTAATAATATTGACCTTAAAATGTTTTTAAAAAAAAATAAAAACTGCTTTTATTCTAGCTGAAATAAAACAAAAAAGACTTTCTTCAGAAGAAAAAATATTATCAGAGATACAGTGAAAATTTCCTTGCTCTGTTAAACATCATTTGGAAATTATTTAAAAAAGAAAAAAAAATCAAAAGGTGTTTAACGATTCTGACTTCAACTGTAAGAAACATGATTCCCACTTTAAATAATGTGCAATATGCATTACTGGTAACTACTTATATTTACATTTCCTCATTTATTTACATTTTTTAGCAGATTCTTTTATCCAAAGCAACTTACTAATGTGGAACTGCTTAAAAGGCAACCTCATGTATAAGTACAAATGTGTAACAGGACATTGGTAACCAACAACACGTATCTCATCTGAAACTACATGTGTAGCAACAAGTGTGTAAGTGTATTTTGTAACAAGTATTTCTACTTGCACAAACAGACTTCAATACTGCAAACAATGTCAAACTTAACATGTGAATATGTTTGTTACTTTATATTTCTTATATCTTATTTTAAGGCATCACAGTGGCGCAGTGGTTAGCATGATCACCTCACATTAGGAGGGTCATGGGTTTGAGCCTCGACTGGGTCAGTTGGCATTTCTGTGTGGAGTTTGCATGTTCTCCCCATGTTGGTGTGGGTTTCCTCTGGGTGCTGCAGTGTCCCCCACGAGTCCAAAGACATGCGGTACAGGTGAATTAGGTAAGCTAAATTGTCCATAGTGTATGTGTGCGAATGAGTGTGTGTAGATGTTTCCCAGTGATGGGTTGCAGCTGGAAGGGCATCCGCTGCGTAAAACATACACTGGATAAGTTGGCGGTTCATTCCGCTGTGGTGACCCCAGATTAATTAATGGACCAACCAGAAAAGAAAATGAATGAATGAATAACTCATTTAGCAAAAAAAAAAAGTAACATTATTTTTATTGTTTACATGTTTAATAAGGGGCACTTAATATTAAACGGTGACACAGTGGCTCAGTGGTTTGCACTGTCACCTCACAGCAAGAACGTTATTGGTTCGAGTCCTGGCTGGACCAGTTGGCATTTCCGTATGGAGTTTGCATGTTCTCCCCGTGTTCACATGGGTTTCCTCTGGGTGCTACTGTTTCCCCCACAGTCCAAAGACATGCGCTATAGTGTCCTCGACCCCCCCACCTGCACATTTTGTATGTCCTCTTTACTTAATCCACCTGATTCAGACCATCAGCTCATTAACAGAGAGATCCATGAACTGATCCCTGTGTGTCAAATCAGAGAGACATACAAAATGTGCAGGGCTGGGGAAGGGGGCGGACCACTGATGTCGTGTAATTGGCCATTGTGTATGTGTGTGAATGACTATGGATATGGAGTATGGATGTTTCCCAGTGATGGGTTGGAGCTGGAAGGACATCCACTGTGTAAAACATATTCTGGATAAGTTGGCGGTTCATTCCACTGTGGTGCCCCTGATAAATAAAGGGACTAAACAGAAGGAAAATGAATGAATAAACTTAATAATCAAGTAAGACAGAAAATGTTGGAACTTGATTAATTGTTGATAAAAGGATTTGTCAAAAACGACCAATTACATCTTATCGTGGAAAATAGGTTTATTTGAATATGCATAAAATTGCATTAAAAATATACACAGAAAAAAGTCAACATTTCAGAAATCAAACAAACTCTTACAATTTATCAAATTGTGACATCTTCTCCCAACCAGCCATATGTAAAAGTAGAACATTTATTAGAACTGTTGAAACAATTCTTTATTCATTTCCCCTCTTTAGCCATAATAAACAGTTGCTCAACCACCATTTTTATTTTAAAGGGGATCTATTATGCACCTTGTTTACAATAATCTTTGATGTACCTAGAATGTGTATGTTACGTTTCAGCTCCAAATACCCCTAAATAATTATTTATAACTTTTTGAAACGTACCCTTGTAGGCTTTAATTCTAATTGTGCCATTTTGGCGACTGTTACTTTAAATGCAAATGAGATTGTGCTCTTTTTAAAATAGGGCGGAGCTACAGATGCCTATGTGTCAGCATAGTGGCAGTTTTAAAAGCAAGACTAACGTCTTATGCTAATGAGGAAGAAATAGTCACCAATGGGCAGAGCTTTTCCCCTCTGATGACATGTACGAAGAGAGAATGTCAATCAAAGTGTTTCTATTGACTGTTTTATCAAGTGTGATTATAATAAAAAAAACGAATACATTTTTACCATTAGAAGCTGGTTATATTCACATAGTTTCCACACAAATGTATTTAAACTTCTTATAAAACTGATTTTTGCATAATAGGTCCCCTTTAAAGGTTATTTTTTAACATAAAAAAGAAAACTATTGTTTAAAAAATGAAATAACAACGTCAAATATCAGTGTAAATACATGTGAATACATGCAGGTAGGAATACATGTGAGTACATGTAGAAAATACAGTGCATACATGTCAATACATGCAGGTAAAAATGACATGTAAATACATGCGGGAGAAAATGACATGCGAGTACATGCAGGTGTGAATACATGCTAGGACATGCAGGAAGGGGAAAATCACGCCCCCTAGAATTTCACATAGCTCTCTTTTTGGGAAAGCATCGGTGCCATAGATGAAGAAGTTCTCCATTTGCAGATGGCGATCTGTTATAGAGAAGAGGAAAATGTAAATGACATCTGTTCACATTAATGTCAAACACTTAAAAAAATGCAGGGTTCCACACTGTTCTTTCATGTTGTCCAAACATAAATTGATTAAGTTGACTTAATTTTAACAAATTTTAACATAAAACAAGTTACCCCTGCAAAAAAAAAAAAAAAAAACTTAAGAATTGTGTTGATTTAGCTCATTTTAATTAAGTAGTCTGAACAAGCAGGAAATATATTTTTGAGTCAACTGTAAATACTGTAAGAGTTCATCTACAGCCTACAATAGTTTTAGCCTGTTGAAAAGACCATGAACTACCTGCTTTATACAAAGTTTGCCTTTAAAAGAAAAAATAGCAGTTACTTTACCTAAAAATGTGAGTAAACCTGTTGCCACAAGTTGACTTTAAGTAAAATAAGAGGTAACCTGTTGTAACTTGGAGTGGTTAGGCTGAATTAACTGCATTTTTTGTGTGTGTGTGTGTGTGTGTGTGTGTGTGTGTAAACATGCACAAATTGTGTGAATGAACATGATATCTTTATCGTGGGCACCTCATACAGCAAACAGTTTTTTATGATTGTTGTATTTCAGTGGTTTTAATCACAGCACCAAAATCTTTGAAAATAATTAAAAATTTGTAGTAAATTTGCATTTTAATCCAACCCAATTGTCTGACATAAATACTATTTTGCATCACAGACAGACAGACAGACAGACAGACAGACAGACAGACAGACAGACAGACAGACAGACAGATAGATAGATAGATAGATAGATAGATAGATAGATAGATAGATAGATAGATAGATAGATAGATAGATAGATAGATAGATAGATAGATAGATAGATAGATAGATAGATAGATAGATAGATAGATAGAAGTCACATTAAAGCCACTGGGTAGAGATCCTGATCTTTTCAGTGGAATAAAAAAAATAAAAACAATACTGGAATAGACATTTTTCTTACCTGTAGAAAAAAACTGCAGGAAGTGATGATCAAGATGATGTATAGCAGAAGAAGTGGACCAATATCATTTTCAACAGTTTCCCGATAAGATGTCTGGCTCTTGCTTTGACGCTGGCTCTGGGTGGATGCATTGTGTGCAGTGAGGCAGTTTGGGATTTCTATGAAAGAACATCAGTTATTACTAAAATTGTCCTCTGGATGTCACCCTGCCACACACATCTACCACTTTATGTGCACAGAAAGCCAATGCAAGCCTGTATGTAAATCATCCTTCATTTAAATTCTCTACCAAAACAAGACCAAAAGAATGACAGTTTAACAGTTGAGGCCTGTTCTGTTTGAAAACAGGAAGCTCATGCTCTTCAAGTGTTACTCTTCCCATCTTTGATGGTTGTCTTTCAACCCTTTTTAAGAGCTTACGTTTGCACACTTCGGTTTCGTCATAAAGAAATCTACATTTTCAAAGAAAAACATCATTCACATGTAAAGTCAAAGTTTCCATGGGTAATATCAAAAATGTAGAGCACAATTGCTGTAAAGAAGAGTGCGCCGGGGAGGCCCCGTTTCCACCCTTGTATTTTCAGGTGACCTCAGATTTCCTCCTTCAGTCGTTTATGTTATACTCTGCTCTCTGGCTCCCTCTAGCGCTTTAAAGAGATAACTCAATCAAAAAAATCTAAATTCTGTCATTTATTACCTGTTTGAGTTTCATCAGTTGAACCCAAAAGACGATGTTTTAAAGAATGTTTTAAAAAATGGATGTCAATTGCTACGTATTCCCAGCAATTGTTTTCAGAATGAATTGTGTTCAACAGAAAAAGGTAGAAGGGAACCAGATGAAAATACGTAAAAGATGCGCACATTTGTATTTTTATTTTAAAATAAACTCTTTATCAGTGAACCAAATTTGCTAGTATAATCTATGTAGAGGCTTAAAAATATGTATAAAAACATATTGTATATATATATATATATATATATATATATATATATAAACAATATCGGTATTTGTAATAGCCTGTCACAAAACTCTATTGTAAACCATTACCAACTGCATATAAAAAGGTGAAACTGGTAAAAACCCACATGTAAGAGACTGAAAACAAGATTTCGCTTACCTTGTATGTAAACAACAGTGCCGTTCCCGAGCGCTCTGAGATATGGAGGTGGAAAGAGGATCTCGATCTCGCAGCGATAGACGTCCGTGTCTTCCCCTCGCAGTCCAGCGATGATCAGATCCACTCCTCCAAAGTTAATATTCCCTCTGCAGCGAACTGGGCCATCTGTTGCGAAGTAGGGCTCTGAGAGGTTGACATACGCGCTACAGATCCTCTCGTGTCCATGCAATGCTTTATACACAGAAACCTGGACCTCTTCCGGCCTCAGTTTGGATCTAAAAGAGCAGTGTATGGAGACTTCTCCATCTTTTCCTGTCACACGATAAGGCTGAGAAACAACCAGAGCTGGAGGCAAAACAAAGAGATGAATGAAGCATTGGATGTACTGTAACTCACTCACTTCTTTCTACAAATTTATTTGGATAATCATTCTACTTAACAATTGTATTGAAAGTAAAGAACAAGTTTACATAGTTTCAATTAAACTCAATATTAAAATAATAATAATAAATAAATAAATGAAAAATGTATGCATTCTAAAAGAGAATTCTTGAGGAAGCTTTAAAATTAGGCTTTTGCATTAACTTCAGGTTACTGCATAATAATAATAATAATAATATTTTTAAGTAACAAAAGCTAATGTTTACATTCCTAATAATACTACTAATAATAGTAATAATAATAATAAAATAATATTAATAAAATGGTTAATTGCCACCCACAGGGGTAAAGATGTCTCCATCTAAAATATCTGTGCCTGAAAAGCAATTAAAAAAAAAAACATTTTGAAGCCCAGAAGGTACTTACCGAATCCCAGTGGGATATATATAAAGATTATAATAAGTGTGATAATCATTGTGTCGTGCAATAACTGAGAAGGGGGGTATCTGTCTCTTATACATGAGTGAGTTCTGGAAAGCTTTGTGACATCAGTAACGTGGCAGGAAACCTCAAGCTGACTGCAAATGCCCGTAAAGTGCTCAAATTTTGCAAGTAATGTAGCCAATTTGCACAATATGTGTAATCGAAGGGAAAAAAATCAAATGAGACTTGAGAAGAAGAAAAAAACAGTAGAGGAGATGGAAAATTTGGTTAAGGGTGTGGTTTGACTCTCAGCCTATCACATAGCCCGGTCAATAGATTATTCGATTTTCTAAATTTATGGAAAGTATTAAAATCAGATAGACTCGAAAGCAGATTCAGCACTTTCGAAATGATCCTTTCCAGTTTTGCAATCGTTCATTATGCTTTATCTGCTGATCACTTGCTAAGTATTGCATCACGTCAGATTATAATGAAGGCTGGAAATTTGGAAGATGGAAAGTTCACATATGATCAAATCAAATGCAGTCATTTCTTTAGACGCTCTTTTATTTTGATATATTTGCTTTGGTTCTTTTGGGTCACTTCTTACTTGCATTTAAATGTTAAGTATTTCATATAAATCAATCAGTGTGTGGTGTGTACATGTTCATCTGTGAAGCTAAGGTTATTTTTTTCGCCACAATGTTTATATTAATGCAAACATTTACCAATCTATGGATCCTGCTTGTCAATTTCACAAAGCGTTTTGCAGAATGCTTTCCACCCACTGTTTTTTTCCTGTCATTTCCTGTCACGAACGAAATTTAGACTTCTGATATAATCGTATGTTTTGGAGTCTACAGTGGTTTGCATATTGCACGGTTGCATATTTGTAATAGTAAGCGGAATAGTGTAAGAACAGATACAGCAGTTACAGGCATTAAAAATAGCATGAGAGCGTCTATACTCATAGAAGTAGCTGACAATAAAACATTAATTTGTTGCCTTGTGCAAACAGATCTTGATTAGCTCAACTTTTTATTTAATATTGCATTTTGATTTAATAGGTTTTACTGTATATGTTTCTGTGGTCACACTTTATTTTAATGGTTCATTTGTTGAATTTAAGTTCATTTTGAGTTACAATTGCAACTACATGCCAACCAATTCTAGATTATAAGTAGACTGTTTGGGGTTAGGGTAAGTGTAAGAAACAATGTACTTGCAAAGTTTCTTATAGTCAGTTAAATGCCTGTTGAAGGAGCAGGATCAGATATTTAGCAGACAGTCTACTAATACTCAAATGGACCGTCAAAACAAAGTGTTACCATATCTGTTAGTACACTAAACAACATTTGCTCCTTTTTCAGACTAAGTTAAAATGAGCAGAAACAACATAATTTTGGAGATTTTTCTAAGACAGCTAAATTGTTTTATGTGCAATCCACTTAAATTTGTTAAGTTATTTGCTTTGTGTTGGGACTACATGAATAAAATGTGTGGAGTCCTGCATTCTTTACAGTGTAAAGTTATAGCGAGTGGATTAGTGGTTAGCTCTGATGCTTTTCAGCAAGAAGGTCGCTGGTTTGAGTTTTTTTTTTTTCTATTTCTCAAATCTTCAGTAGCAATTGCAAACCAATGAAAGCTATAAAATTGCAAACCAATGAAAGCCATATTTCACCCAAATATGAAAATGAACTTACTATTTACTGTCCTTTGTGTGGTTACATCCTTTATGGGTTTCTTTGTTCTCTTGAACACTAAAGAAGCCATTTTAAAGAAAGCTGAAAACCAGTAACCATTGACTTCCATGGAGGAAAAGCAAATACTTCGGAAGTCAATGGTTACAGGTTTTTAGCTTTCTTTAAAACATTTTTTTAGTGTTCAACAGAATAAAGCTTTAGAAGAAGTGAGGGGTGAGTGAACGATGACAGAAATTTCAATTTTGGTTGAACTATTACCTTTAAGAATACACTCAAAAAAATTATTAAGTTGCTTGTTAAAACTACTTATTTAAAATGAGTTGAAACAACTCAATTCTGAAGTTTTTTTTTAGGGACAACCTAATTGTTTTATGTTTAATCCACTTTAGTTTTGGAAAAACTAGGTTAACCTAATTGGTTTGTTTTGGGACAATATGGAGGAATTGTGTGGAAGCCAGCATTTTTACAGTGTAAACAATAAATAAATAAAAGTAAATAACTCGCCATAAAATGGAATCTCAAAACTTTCAGAAACAGTTTAAAAAGCTGTTACAATGGTTGTGTCTTTTCCAGAGGTACATATTTGTACCTAAAGGGTCCATATTAATATAGCTTAAAAGTACATAAAGAGTGTATATTAGTATCTGAAAAGAAACATCTCCATCACCACAGTGACAGCTTTATTTCTAAGACTAAAAATAGTGTGTAAATGAACATATCAGTGGCATCACAAGGCATTTTGTTTACAAACAAGAATGCTTAGCCATGTTTTCAATATGTGTGCTCAGTCATTGTTTCCTGCGGTTAGGGTTTTGATGTTTTGATGACAATGACTGAAAATTGCACTGTTGGCTGTATTTTTTTTTCTACTGTATGCTGGTGGATTACAGTAATATTAAGGATTACAGCAAGTGTTACATACACCCTTCCTATATTTGCTTAGAGGTTTGTGAGATGCATATATGAAGTATTTCTGGTCAATTTAACATTTTTTGGACATTCTTCTTCATTAACCTCATGATTTACCTGCATTCTTTAATCATTCAGGACATATTTATGTCACAATGGTTAGTTTTTGGAAGATGAAATTTAAGAATAAAATCTAAAATACAAAGCTAAATTAGTAGGCTTTTCATTGATGTATGGTTTATTGGGACAGGAACATATTTGGCAGAGATACAATGTTTTGAATATCTGGATTCTGGGAGTTTGGGAGATTCTAGCTCACCCAATTCACCTATAGCATGTTTTTTGACTTGTGGGGGAAACCGGAGCACCTGCAGGAAACCCACACAAACATGGGGAGAACATACAAGCTCCACACAGAAATGCCAAGTGACCCAGCTCAAACCAGCGACCTTCTTGTAGATAAAAATTTATAATTTTGACTTGTACATTGGCTATTCCCAAAAATATAACCGTATAACATGAGACATTTACAAAATGCCTGTTTAAAAAGCATTAAAATAATAATTTAATATCAAAACAAATGATACAATTATTTTGCATCATCTTAATTCTACCACAAACGGTACTGTGCATATTCATTCATTCATTTTCCTTCGGCTTAGTCTCTTATTTATCAGGGGACGCCACCCAGGTACTGGGAAACACCCATTCACTCTCATATTCTCACATGCACTCATACACTACAGCCAATTTAGTTTATCCAATTCACCTGTACCGCATAACTGTAGAGCACCCAGAGGAAACTCACGTGAACACGAGGAGAACATGCAAACTCCACAGAGAAGCGCCTACTGGCCCAGCCGAGACTCAAACCAGCGACCTTCTTGCTGTGAGGTGACAGGGCTAACTACATACTGTTTTTTTATGATGATATGGACCAGATAGGTATGCAGATATGAGAATTAAATTCTCTAACAATCGATTCCAAAAATCATACCACAGTGAATTCTGAACACTGTAATCATTTGATAATACATATATCATTTAGACATGTATTTATATTGCACTTATATTTAACTTCTGTAAATAATTTCCATTACTGTTGACATTATTGCTCCTCAACCACACTTTAAACCTAGCATACCACTAAATGTGACCTGATTTTTCAAGGTGGAATATGCATCTAGTACATATACACACACACACACGCACACACACACACACACACACACACACACACACACACACACACACACACACACACACACACACACACACACACACACACACAAACACACACACACACACACACACACACACACAAACACACACACACTCAAAAGATTTCTGCAAAATTGTTGCAAACAATTTATATGGGTTGTATTTAAACCAACAAATTAAATATAGCAATGTTCAACTTTATTTGTTTTAATTCAGCTCAAATAATCTTTACAAATTTTACAAAAAAAAAAAAAAACATATTGGAAAACCAAAGAAACATCATTGAATTTTTTTTTCATTGTACAGTAGTATAATATTTGTAATATAGTGCAAATACTAAGCAATATGATCTTCACATTTTTTGCAGCTAACTAACGAGTCTTGGATGCTAAATTGTTTTTTTTTTTTTTTTTTGCTAATTCTTGTTAAAGATGCAAAATTCTTGATGTCATTCCGTGATTATTTGTAGCTCAATACATTTCAGGAAGTTACACAGTTTTTTATCAGCTTAAGGTCTTTATATTTATTAAGATTTTATTTTTATTCTCATTATTACATCACTGTCACATCACTTCATCTATCAGTGACAATCACTGTTCAAATGCTGAGTGTCACACAGTCAATTTGAGTTGGGACAACATGAAAAATTTAAGTTAACTCATTAGATTTTGCAAATTTAGGTGGATTGGGCATAAAACCAACGAAACCTCAAGAATTGTGTTGTTTCAGCTCATTTTAAATAAGTAGTTTGAAAAATGTTTGTTTCAGTGGTGGATGGCGCAGGAGACATATTGAAACTTACAGTATGCGAGTGGATGGTAATTTTGTTCTTCCAAGTTTCTATAATTTCCTTGATTAGGATAGTTTCACATGACAGAAGACTACTACTAGCGCTCAACAATGAAGAATTTTTATTTTCTTAAAGAGCACATGCAACTAGAAAAACACTAACAAATCAAATCGACAACACATGCAAATTCTCACAACAAATGCAAATACAGAAATGTGCTGCAAATAAAGCAGACCACAACAGAAATGTGTCAGCGGACCCCAAAGAGTCCAGACTGCTTTAGTCAGTGCTGTTATTATGTTAGATCTGAGAGGTATGTGCTTTTTGTTGTTGTTTATTTTAACAATATAACCATATGGTTCCTTGTTGTTTGTTTATTTTTTAGCTCTAATAATCTGACAAATTGCACAATTAATGTTAAATGAAATGT